TTCTCCAGATAGTGACAGTCTCCCACTTGTCCTATAACAGATCATAATTCTCCAGATAGTGAATGTCTACACTTGTCCTATAGCAGATCATATTCTCCCAGATAGTGACAGTCTACACTTGGGGTCTATAGCAGATCATATTCTCCAGATAGTGACAGTCTACACTTGTCCATAGCAAAATCATATTCTCCAGATAGTGACAGTCAAACCCCTTGTCCTATAACAGATCATATTCTCCAGATAGTGACAGTCTACACTTGTCCTATAACAGAATCATATTCTCCAGATAGTGACAGTCTAAAACTTGGTGTCCTATAACAGATCATTTTCCTCCAGAATGACAGTCAAACTTGTCCTATAGCAGACATATTCTCCAGATAGTGACAGTCTTACTTGTCCTATAGCAGATCATTTCTCCAGTAGTGACAGTCTACACTTGTCCTATAGCATCCATATTCTCCAGGATAGTGACAGTCTTACACTTGTCCTATATGCAGTATCAATTCTCCCGGATAGTGACAGTCGAACACTTGTTGTCCTATAGCAGATACCTATTCTCCAGATAGTGACAGTCTACACCTTGTGTCCTATAGCAGTATCATTTCTCCCAGATAGTGACAGTCTACACTTGTCTATATGCTAGGATTCCTATTCTCCAGATAGTGACCCGTACCTGTGTCCTATAGTCAGATCCTATTCTCCAGAGAGTGACAGTCTACACTGTCCTATAGCAGGCTCATATCTCCAGATAGTGACAGTCCTACACTTGGTGTCCTATAGCAGATCATATCCTCCAGATAGTGACCAGTCTACACTTGTCCTATAGCGGATCATATTCTCCAGATAGTGACAGTCTACACTTGTCCTATAGCAGATTCATATTCTCCAGATATGTGGAACCAGTCTATACTTGTCCTATAGTCAGATCATATTCTCCAGATAGGACAGTCTACACCTTGTCCTATAGCAATCATATTCTCCAGATCGTGACAGTCTACACTTGTCCTATAGCGGATCATATTATCCCAGATAGTGACCGTCTCACCTTGTCCCTATAACCAGATCATATCTCCAGATAGTGACAGTCTACACTTGTCCTATAACATGATCATATTCTCCAGATAGTGACAGTCTACACTTGTCCTATAACGATCATATTTCTCCAGATAGTGAGTGTCTACATTGTCCTATAGCCAAGATCATATTCTCCAGATAGTGACCGTCTACACTTGGTGTCCTATAGCAGATCATATTCTCCAGATAGTGCACAGTCTACACTTTGTCCTATAGCAGATCATATTCTCCAGATAGTGACCAGTCTCACTTGGTGTCCTATAGCAGATCATATTCTCCAGATAGTGACAGTCTACACTTGTCCTATAGCAGATCATATCTCCCGAATAGTGACAGTCTACACTTGGTGTCCTATAGCAGATCATATTCTCCCAGATAGTGACAGTCTATACTTGTCCTATAGCAGATCATATTCTCCAGATAGTGACAGTCTACACTTGTCCTATAGCAGATCATATTCTCCAGATAGTGACAGTCTACACTTGTCCTATAGCGGATCATATTCTCCAGATAGTGACAGTCTACACTTGTCCTATAACAGATCATATTCTCCAGATAGTGACAGTCTACACTTGTCCTATAACAGATCATATTCTCCAGATAGTGACAGTCTACACTTGTCCTATAACAGATCATATTCTCCAGATAGTGAGTGTCTACACTTGTCCTATAGCAGATCATATTCTCCAGATAGTGACAGTCTACACTTGGTGTCCTATAGCAGATCATATTCTCCAGATAGTGACAGTCTACACTTGTCCTATAGCAGATCATATTCTCCAGATAGTGACAGTCTACACTTGTCCTATAACAGATCATATTCTCCAGATAGTGAGTGTCTACACTTGTCCTATAGCAGATCATATTCTCCAGATAGTGACAGTCTACACTTGGTGTCCTATAACAGATCATATTATCCAGATAGTGACAGTCTACACTTGTCCTATAGCAGATCATATTCTCCAGATAGTGACAGTCTACACTTGTCCTATAACAGATCATATTCTCCAGATAGTGACAGTCTACACTTGTCCTATAACAGATCATATTCTCCAGATAGTGACAGTCTACACTTGTCCTATAGCAGCACCCTACAAGAAGAGGCTGTGCCATGAAGAGATGGCACCACAGGGCTCAGGCTGCTGGTATGAAGAGATGGCACCACAGGTTGCTGGTTGCTTGGTGCCTGGCGCAACAACGTGCTGTCTCTGACTCACTGAACATTTCTCAAGTGGTGGACAACATTTTTTGTGATGTCTACCACTAACAGCAGCTCTGTATTACTGTCCTGTTTCACCGTGCAGCTGAAAGCACTGCTGGTTAGAGGGGATATGAGAACAAGCCTGTAGAGGGACTGACTGAGAGGAGAACACACATATTGGAGCAGCCAATCAGCTCTGGGAGGGAGGGGCCAATGGTTCCAGCTGAACTTTAGCCCTTCTGTGATTGGTGGAGCTATGTGTTAAGAGTAGAGGGCTGGAGCAGGAGAGAGGCTGGCTACATGATGGGCCAAACCACACACTCAACCCTCCCTGTCACTATGGGCCAAACCACACACTCAACCCTCCCTGTCACTATGGGCCAAACCACACACTCAACCCTCCCTGTCACTATGGGCCAAACCACACACTCAACCCTCCCTGTCACTATGGGCCAAACCACACCCTCAAATCTCCCTGTCACTATGGGCCAAACCACACCCTCAAATCTCCCTGTCACTATGGGCCAAACCACACCCTCAAATCTCCCTGTCACTATGGGCCAAACCACACCCTCAAATCTCCCTGTCACTATGGGCCAAACCACACCCTCAAATCTCCCTGTCACTATGGGCCAAACCACACACTCAACCTCCTCCCAGTCCTCTTCTCCCTGTCTCACACAAGCTACATAATGCTATTAACATAAGACATCAACAACCAGTTCTGACAGGCCTTTTTAAACACGCTTTTTTCACCCTAAACCTCCTTCCTCCAGTTGGACTCGATACCTGCTGGCTCAGTAAGAATGGATGCTGTCTTTTTGTCATTGACCTGCTGGAAAGGAGAGGACAGAGCAGAGCAGCCTACTGTGTTAACTCCATCACATGACATTTACATTTGACATTTTTTGTCATTTAGCAGATGCTCCTATCCAGAGCGATTTACAGGAGCAATTAGGGTCAAGTGCCTTGCTCAAGGGCACATCGATAGATTTTTCACCTAGTCTGCTCGGGGATTCGAACCAGCAACTTTTGGTTACTGGCCCAACGCTCTTAACCGCTAGGCTACCTGCCGGCCTATATATTATATAATCAGCGTGATGCTGCAGGCTGGCCTGGCTCCAAGTGTTGGTAACCGCTAGGCTACCTGCCGGCCTATATATTATATCATCAGCGTGATGCTGCAGGCTGGCCTGGACATATGTACATAAGTAAGAATACATAAGTATTCACACCCCAGCTTTGCACATCTGGGTTTGGGAATTTTCTCCCATTCTTCCTTGCAGATTTTCTCATGCTCTGTTAGATGGGGAGCGGCAGTGAACAGCAATCTTCAAGTCTTTCCACAGATTTTAAATGGGATTCAAGTCTGGGCTTTGGCTGGACCACTCAAGGACTTTCACATTCTTGTTCTAAAGCCATTCCAGCGTTGCTTTGGCTTTATGCTTGGGGTCATTGTCCTGATGGAATGTAAATCTTCGCCCCAGTCTAAGGTCATTTGCGTTCTGAAGTAGGTTCTCATCAAGGATTTTCCTGTATTTGGCTCCATTTATTGTTCCCTCTATCCTTACCAGTCTCCCAGTCCCTGCTGCTGAAAAGCATCCCCATAGCATGATGCTGCCACCACCATGTTTCACGGTAGGGATGGTGTTAGATGGGTGATGAGCTGTGCCTGGTTTTCTCCAGACATAGCGCTTTGCATTCGGGTCAAAGAGTTACATTTTTGTCTCATCAGACCACAGAATCTTTTGCCTTTATGATCTGAGTCTCCAGGCGTGCTGCCTTTTTCTCAGGAGATGCTTCCGTCTGGCCACTCTCCCATAATGCCCAGAATGGTGAAGTGAGGGAGAGACTGTTGTCCTTCTGGCAGGTTCTCCCATCTCAGCCAAGGAACTCTGTCGTTCTGTCAGAGCGGTCATTGGGTTCTTGGTCACCTCCCTAACCAAGGTCATTCTTGCCCGGTTGCTCAGTTTGGTCGGACGGCCAGCTCTAGGCAGAGTCTGGGTAGTTCCATATGTTTTCCATTTCCTAATGATGGAGACCACTGTACTCTTGGAAACTTTCAACACTTTAGAAATTGTTTTATACCCTTCCCCAGATATATGCCTCATCACAGAGATCTACAGACAGTTCCTTAGACTTCATGGTATAGTTTCTGCTCTGACATGCACTGTCAACTGTGGGACCTTATATAGACAGATGTGTTTCTTTATAAATCATGTCCAATCAATTGAATTGGCCACAAAGTTGTAGTGACATCTCAAGGATGATCAAAGGAAATTGGATGCACCTGAGCTCAGTTTGGATTGTCATAACAAAGGGGTGTGAATACTTATGTATATTAGATATTGCTGTATTTCATTTTCAATTAAAAAATAATAATAATCTAAAAACGTGTTTTCACTGTCATTATGGGGTATTGTGTTTAGATGGGTGATGGGAAAAACATATTTAATCCATTTTGAATTCAAGCTGTAACACAAAATGTGGAATAAGTCAAGGGGTCTAACTGTAAGTCGCTCTGGATAAGAGCGTCTGCTAAATGACTAAAATGTAAATGTATGAATACTTTCTGAAGGCGCTGTAGATCCATTCTTTCTGTCCGGTTTGTCCCCAGTGTTCTCTGCCTGGCTCTGCCATACAGAACAGTCAGTAATCCCCTAGTCATGTTGTTCTGTTTAAAGTTGTTAGCTGTCTAATTCCCTTCCTGACTGGGTGTTGGCAGAAAGCCAGGCCCAGGGTGTCTGTTGTACCACGAGGCTGGGATAGGGAGGGAGGGACTGACGGGGAGGGACAGGGACATGGAGGGACGGACAGGGATAGGGAGGGACAGGGACATGGAGGGACGGATGGACAGGGAGGGACAGTGAGGGAGGGAGGGATAGGGAGGGACATGGAGGGAGGGATAGGGAGAGACAGGGACATGGAGGGAGGGATAGGGAGGGACAGGGACGGACATGGAGGGACGGACAGGGAGGGATAGGGAGGGACGGACAGGGAGGGATGGAGAGGTTTTAAAAACAACATGCATTTAGTTTTGCCCATATTAAGCACTAGTTTTAGATCAGCAAGGGATTCCTGCATAGCTATAAAATCTGACTGTAGTTTTGACACAGCCAGATCTACAGTCACGGCAATAGCATACATAATAGTATCATCCACATATAGATGAAGTTTAAATTTAACAAATTGACCAATGGTGTTTATATAAATAGTGAAGAGAACAGGTCCCAAAAATCAACCCCTGTGGTACACCTTTATGAAATTCAGACTTAACCCCATCAATCACGATGGCCTGAGTTCTGTCACTAAGATAAACATGAAACCATGAACAGGCGTCAGAGCTCAGGCCTATCGAGGACAATTTATTAAATAAAATAGCATTATCAAACGCTTTTGACAGGTCCACAAACAAAGCAGCACATTTCATTTTAGTGTCTAAAGCATTGACAAGATCATTAACAACTAAAGTGGTTGCTGTAATAGTTATATGCCCAGGCCTAAACCCCAATTTGATTTACATTCAAAATACATTTCTCAGATAAAGAAGAGCAAAGTTGTACATTTACCAAGGATTGAAGAATCTTAGCTAGACAAGGAAGCGTTGAAATGGGGTCAGGCAGCTAATGAATGAACAGGAGAAAACGTCATGGTTACAGGACAGACTCAGAGACATGCTCCTGTATTCAGAATACATACACTCGCTGGTGTAAAATACTTCAGTAAAAATACTTTAAAGTACTACTTAAGTAGTTTTTTGGGGTATCTGTACTTTACTTTACTATTCATTTTTTTGGGACAACTTTTACTTCACTACGTTCCTAAAGAAAATAATGTACTTTTTACTTTACACCCAAAAGTATTAGTTAAGCAGGACAGTCAAATGGTCTAATTTGCACACTTATCAAGAGAACATCCCTGGTCGTGCTTCGTTTGTAAATGATGTCTGAGTGTTGGTGTGCCCCTGGTGATCTGTAAATAAATAAACTGGAAAATGTGTCCGTCTGCTTTGCTTAATATAAGGAATTTGAAATGATTTATACTTGTACTTTTGATACTTATATTTAAAACCAAATACTTTTACTCATGTAGTATTTTACTGGGTGACTTTCACTTTTACTTGAGTCATTTTCTATTAAGATATCTTTTACTCAAGTATGACAATTGGGTACTTTTTCCCACCACTGCATACACTACACTCAGAATAATCATTTCATAGCATGCAGGCAGTTCAATGGGTCCGTGTCTGCTTTCATTGGCTACTGAGACGACTTCAGAAACACTCTACATACTTTCCAGCCTCTGTAGTCCCCCTGTCTCTCCCCTCTGTCTTTATAGCCATACGGTGTTCAGGCCTCCTTGCTTGGCTGTGTTCAGCCTGCTGCTCTTAAGCTGCTGGCAGCCATGTCCTTCTTTTCAGGAATGGTTTGAGTTAGCTGGAACTTTCTTTTCCCTCAGCAGAGCACAGTTAGAGCTACTCACGCATTCCTCTGGTTCTTAGTGTTGAAGCCTACTGCTGTTTGTTACAGTCCACACAGTCAGTCTGGTTCTTAGTGTTGAAGCCTACTGCTGTTTGTTACAGTCCACACAGTCAGTCTGGTTCTTAGTGTTGAAGCCTACTGCTGTTTGTTACAGTCCACACAGTCAGTCTGGTTCCTAGTGTTGAAGCCTACTGCTGTTTGTTACAGTCCACACAGTCAGTCTGGTTCTTAGTGTTGAAGCCTACTGCTGTTTGTTACAGTCCACACAGTCAGTCTGGTTCTTAGTGTTGAAGCCTACTGCTGTTTGTTACAGTCCACACAGTCAGTCTGGTTCTTAGTGTTGAAGCCTACTGCTGTTTGTTACAGTCCACACAGTCAGTCTGGTTCTTAGTGTTGAAGCCTACTGCTGTTTGTTACAGTCCACACAGTCAGTCTGGTTCCTAGTGTTGAAGCCTACTGCTGTTTGTTACAGTCCACACAGTCAGTCTGGTTCTTAGTGTTGAAGCCTACTGCTGTTTGTTACAGTCCACACAGTCAGTCTGGTTCCTAGTGTTGAAGCCTACTGCTGTTTGTTACAGTCCACACAGTCAGTCTGGTTCCTAGTGTTGAAGCCTACTGCTGTTTGTTATAATAATAATAATAATAATATGCCATTTAGCAGACGCTTTTATCCAAAGCGACTTACAGTCATGCGTGCATACATTTTTTTTTTTGTGTGTGTATGGGTGGTCCCGGGGATCGAACCCACTACCTTGGCGTTACAAGCGCCGTGCTCTACCAGCTGAGCCACTTTTACTTGAGTCATTTTCTATTAAGATATCTTTTACTTTTACTCAAGTATGACAATTGGGTACTTTTTCCCACCACTGCATTTTTCCCACCACTGTTACAGTCCACACAGTCAGTCTGGTTCCTAGTGTTGAAGCCTACTGCTGTTTGTTACAGTCCACACAGTCAGCCTGGTTCATAGTGGTGAAGCCTACTGCTGTTTGTTACAGTCCACACAGTCAGCCTGGTTCATAGTGGTGAAGGCTACTGCTGTTTGCTACAGTCCACACAGTCAGCCTGGTTCATAGTGGTGAAGCCTACTGCTGTTTGTTACAGTCCACACAGTCAGTCTGGTTCTTAGTGTTGAAGCCTACTGCTGTTTGTTACAGTCCACACAGTCAGTCTGGTTCCTAGTGTTGAAGCCTACTGCTGTTTGTTACAGTCCACACAGTCAGTCTGGTTCTTAGTGTTGAAGCCTACTGCTGTTTGTTACAGTCCACACAGTCAGTCTGGTTCTTAGTGTTGAAGCCTACTGCTGTTTGTTACAGTCCACACAGTCAGTCTGGTTCCTAGTGTTGAAGGCTACTGCTGTTTGTTACAGTCCACACAGTCAGTCTGGTTCCTAGTGTTGAAGCCTACTGCTGTTTGTTACAGTCCACACAGTCAGTCTGGTTCTTAGTGTTGAAGCCTACTGCTGTTTGTTACAGTCCACACAGTCAGTCTGGTTCCTAGTGTTGAAGCCTACTGCTGTTTGTTACAGTCCACACAGTCAGTCTGGTTCCTAGTGTTGAAGCCTACTGCTGTTTGTTACAGTCCACACAGTCAGTCTGGTTCTTAATGTTGAAGCCTACTGCTGTTTGTTACAGTCCACACAGTCAGTCTGGTTCTTAGTGTTGAAGCCTACTGCTGTTTGTTACAGTCCACACAGTCAGTCTGGTTCTTAGTGTTGAAGCCTACTGCTGTTTGTTACAGTCCACACAGTCAGTCTGGTTCCTAGTGTTGAAGGCTACTGCTGTTTGTTACAGTCCACACAGTCAGTCTGGTTCCTAGTGTTGAAGCCTACTGCTGTTTGTTACAGTCCACACAGTCAGTCTGGTTCCTAGTGTTGAAGCCTACTGCTGTTTGTTACAGTCCACACAGTCAGTCTGGTTCCTAGTGTTGAAGCCTACTGCTGTTTGTTACAGTCCACACAGTCAGTCTGGTTCTTAGTGTTGAAGCCTACTGCTGTTTTGTTACAGTCCACACAGTCAGTCTGGTTCCTAGTGTTGAAGCCTACTGCTGTTTGTTACAGTCCACACAGTCAGTCTGGTTCCTAGTGTTGAAGCCTACTGCTGTTTGTTACAGTCCACACAGTCAGTCTGGTTCTTAGTGTTGAAGCCAACTGCTGTTTGTTACAGTCCACACAGTCAGTCTGGTTCCTAGTGTTGAAGCCTACTGCTGTTTGTTACAGTCCGCACCGTGTCAGTCAGTTAGTCAGTCAGTTGCATGGGCCTTTAACAGTTAGTAGGAATAGGGGGTTTTCTGTGCTGCCACCAGCTGCAGGACAGACAGCCAGGGGTGCAACTTTCACTGGGGACGGGGGCATGTCCCCCCACATTCTGAAATAGCATTTTTGCCCCCCCCCCCAGTTTTAGCATGGGAATGTGATACAAAACGAGGCAATGATGTGCTTTAGGACCATGCAGACACCTCAGAGCGGTAGGGTAGGCTGTTTGGGAGTGTTTCTCCGACTAGATAAAAAAAATATATATAATAATTGTCGTCCCCCCCCCCACTTCTAAAACCAAAGTTGCGCCCCTGCAGACAGCCAAAGGCTACCTCAGTCAGTCTGTTTCACTGACCATGGAGCAGCAGCAGCACTGTGACTGGTCCCAGATCAGATGATTCAGGAGAATACATTAGACCTCCAGACTTACTGCTCCTCAGTGGCCCATAGAGGACATCAGAGCATTCCTCCTGATGGTTAAACCATCTCTGTTTCCTCCTGATGGTTACCCACCTCTGTTTCCTCCTGATGGTTACCCGCCTCTGTTTCCTCCTGATGGTTAAACCACCTCTGTTTCCTCCTGATGGTTAAACCACCTCTGTTTCCTCCTGATGGTTAAACCATCTGTTTCCTCCTGATGGTTAAACCACCTCTGTTTCCTCCTGATGGTAACACCACCTCTGTTTCCTCCTGATGGTTACACCACCTCTGTTTCCTCCTGATGGTTACACCACCTCTGTTTCCTCCTGATGGTTAATCCACCTCTGTTTCCTCCTGATGGTACATTCCTCCTGCTCCTCTGCCTTCTCCTGCTCTACCTCCTTCTCCTCCTCCTCCTGCTCTGCCGCTCCTCCTGCTCTGCCGCTCCTCCTGCTCCACCTCCTCATCCTCCTCCTCCTGCTTCAACTCCTCATCCTCCTCCTCCTGCTTCAACTCCTCATCCTCCTCCTCCTGCTCTACCTCCTCCTCCTGCCTCTCGCTCTACCTCCTACTCCTCCTCCTCCTGCTCTACCTCCTCCTCCTCCTGCCGCTCCTCCTCCTCCTGCTGCTGCTCCTCCTCCTCCCGCTCTACCTCCTCCCGCTCTACCTCCTCCTCATCCTCCTACTCTACCTCCTTCTCCCGCTCTACCTCCTTTTCCTCCTGCTCTACCTCCTTTTCCTCCTGCTCTACCTCCTCCCCCTTCTCCTCCTGCTCTACCTCCTCCTGCTCTACCTCCTTTTCCTCCTGCTCTACCTCCTCCCCCTTCTCCTCCTACTCTACCTCCTCCTCCTCCACCTTCTCCTGCTCTACCTCCTCCTGCTCTACCACCTCCTCCTTCTCCTGCTCTACCTCCTCTTCCTCCTCCTGCTCCTGCTGCTCCTCCTCCTCCCGCTCCTGCTGCTCCTCCTCCTCCCGCTCCTGCTGCTCCTCCTCCTGCTCTACCTCCTCCTCCTCCTCCTGCCGCTCCTCCTCCTCCTCCTGCCACTCCTCCTCCTCCTGCTATACCACCTCCTCCTCCCGCTCCTCCTCCTCCTGCCGCTCCTCCTGCTCTTCCTCCACCTCCTCCTCTTCCTCCACCTGCTCTACCTCCTCCTCTTCCTCCTCCTCTACCTCCTCCTCTTCCTCTACCTCCTCCTCCTGCTCTTCCTCCTCCTCTACCACCTCCTTTTCCACCTCCTCCTCCTCTACCACTTTCTCCTGCTCTACCTCCTCCTGCTCCATCACTACTGATCAGGGCCTAAAATTAACTTTTTGATTCACCAGCCACTGTGTCAGGTAGATGACAAAATCTACCAGCCACTCAGATTTTTTTACCAGCCAAAATATTTTTTCGCCTTAATTACATCAAAAAACACAACATTAAAGAAAAATAACGGATGGCCATGCTTTATAATGTTTCTAAAACAATAAATATATTAGTAAGAAGTAATGTGGTATATTACTCAATTTAATACTTTTTTTGTCTTTTAATCAAAATATCAGACTATGTTTAGCTGCCCATTTAAGGGCGGGAGTTTTATGCCTGTGCGCAGCGCCTCCAAAAATGAATCTATCAGCACTTCACTCATTGCACACAGCTCCCCTGCCAGGCAGTGTTGCTGCGCGAGGTGGGATCTAGGATCTGTGTTTCTTTGTGCAATTAGCATCTATGAAACAAAGCAGCAGAAATACTTTGAAAACAGCTACTGCAGCATTTTTCCAACCCTAACTCGCACATGTGCTCATACTTTACTTTTAATCATAGGGCCTTGCAAATTGAGCACACGCCAATGTGGCTGGTGAAATAGACATTCTTAACTGCCAATACCTAAATTGACCCGCATTTGGCAAGTGTAAATGTTATGCCCTACCACTGATCCAGCCTCACATCACCACTGATCCAGCCTGGAGACTTTCTGAAGGGTTGTTGTGTTCTGGCCAGGTGAAAGACTGCCCCCTTTCATTGAAGCCACGAAGTTCAAGGCCGACCACCGGTACTGCAGGCATTGTTAGGAGAAAACAGGATCCCCCATTATAGTGAAGGGGAAATCTTTGTGTGAATAAATACACATTTCAAAGACAAACATGGTACCAATAATTTATTCTAATAAACCAGATGTATGTCCTTGCACTGATTATTTAAAAATTGCACACAAGTTCTAAGGATAATTTAGTAGCTAATGGCAGCCTGCAGTACCGTGGTCGGCCTTCAACTTGAGTTACTCAATGAGAGGGGGCAGCACTGAGCTAGCCTGCAACATCACTTCCTTGGCTTCAAATGCATGCACTGAGACTCAGATTTCTCACTTTAAAATGTATGCAAAACAAAATCCATTGCTTGGCATACATTTTAAAGTGAAAAATCGGAGTCTCAGCGTAATTCCGTTACCGTGAAATTGCCCATGCGCTATTCAGTCTTCACATAGGAATGAATGGTGTCACGTGATCGATGGCTTCGTCCGTATACATTAGTACTGCTAGATTTGAGGAATCTGAATGAATGAACATAGATAGAAACAGGGGTGTTCTGAGGACACAGGCAGACTCCTGCACATTGAGCACAGATTGCATTGTATCCATTTCTCTCCTGCAGTCAAGATGTAACCATGACCTGTTTTGTACCTCTGTTTTGTCCCCCCAGGTATGCAGTCATTGCCTTTGGCTGTGCCAGCTGTCCTAAGATCACGTGTGGGCGTGAGGGGTGTGGCACAGAGTTCTGCTACCACTGTAAGCAGCTGTGGCACCCCAATCAGACGTGTGACGCCGCCCGGCAGCAGAGAGCCCAGAGCCTGAGGCTGCGTACCTTCAGCTCCTCATCTCTTAGCTACAGCCAGGAGAGTGGTGTTGCAGGTAACACACACTGCAGTTGAGGTTTAGGTCTAAGAGAATGCTTTGAACCAAATGCAAACTTTGAAAACAAGATGTAAATACGTTGTTTTAAACTTCTTAAAGTTACGTTCATTACTTTAAGTAGGCTATTTTAACCATAGGTGATCAGTCTGCTGCTACAGGTCTGGCGGAAAAGAACCCGATGGGGACTCGCTTTGGCAAAAACCACTCTGCTTGTATAATGAATGAACTGAAGTTGTTCAATAAACACAATGCAAATAAACAGCACGGTGGACAGTCTCCGTGACAACCTGGAGAAGCTGCTCATAGAACATCTAAATCAAATAAACAGCAAGGTGGACAGTCTCCGTGACAACCTGGAGAAGCTGGTCATAGAAAATCTAAATGTCATGAAAACCGATTTGGAGCAAAAAAACAAAGAAATCTGTGACTTTATTGACCTGGATACAGAGCTCCTGAGTCCAAGAATGGACAGTATCGTGGAAAATAATTGAACTGTGAGCAGGTGCCAGAGCTGGTGGACACCGAAAGGATGAGAGAGGAGGGTCTGTGCTGTGAGCAGGTGCCAGAGCTGGTGGACACCTAAAGGATGAGAGAGGAGGGTCTGTGCTGTGAGCAGGTGCCAGAGCTGGTGGACACCTAAAGGATGAGACTGAGAGGCCAGGGACCAGGAGTCGTGAAGGTGAAGGATAAAGTGGATGTCCTCCGGCTGAAGCAACATCTGAAGAGCAGCCAAACGTTAAAGAGGGTGTTCATCAGATCGGCCAAGTCCCACAAAGATTGAATCATCCAACTCCACTTCAGAACAGTCCTACGAGAGATCCCGGCTGGGAGAGATTTCTACATTTCGAGGAATGGGAGGATGATGAAGTGGTCACCAGGGATCTGTCTCCTGATCCCTGGCGACCACAGGGGCCGGGGAGCTGGACCTGCAGGCTGAGAACCATTTAACATTTTTAGTCATTTAGCAGACGCTCTTATCCAGAGCGACTTACAGTTAGTGAGTGCATACATAATGTTTTTATACTGGCCCCCCGTGTGAATCGAACCCACAACCCTGGCGTTGCAAACGCCATGCTCTACCAACTGAGCTACATCCCATCTGTCTCCTGATCCCTGGGGACCACAGGGGCCGGGGAGCTGGACCTGCAGGCTGAGAACCATCTGCCCAGTCTGTCCATAAGTGCTAAACAATTTTCTTTAATTCACTGGAACGTTAATGGATGGACGACCACAAACTGTACACTAACAACATTACTAGTACCGGCCCTAAACCCTGACTTCATTTATTTGAATGAAACTCCACTATTGACTTGGATGGTCAACCAAGGCGATGTGGTTTCCCCAACATTTTCCTTTTTGAAAATGACTTGGCACATCAAATCAAGCATGCTAACCTAGGAGTTAAAGTAGATGACACGACATTGGGGAAACCATTGTACATAGATGATATTGTCCTGCTTGCAGAGAGTGAGTTTGATTTGCAATGTTGAACACTGTCAATCTGTGGTGTACCAAATGGAGATGGATGATTTAACCAAGATGAAACCCAGATAATGCACTTCAGAAAAAATCATGTCAATCTGTGATGTACCAAATGGAGATGGATGATTTAACCAAGATGAAACCCAGATAATTCACTTCAGAAAAAAATCCTGTCAATCTGTGGTGTACCAAATGGAGATGGATGATTTAACCAAGATAAAACCCAGATAATGCACTTCAGAAAAAAGGGGTACAGTAAGAAGTATTCAGTACTTCTCTTTTGGAGTAACGCCCCTAAACTACATTGGCTCATAGAAATACCTTGGTTTCCTGTCTGATGAATGTATGATCTTTGAGGAGGTCATCAAGTCTATCAGATTGTGCAGGTAGAGCGTCTGTTGGTAGTAAACTGCCCATCTGTAAAGACCTTGGCTATTGGACATATTCACAGCTCTATAATGTATGTGTGTCTCCTATACTGAGCTATGGTGGTGGAATGTGGGCTTTTTAAAGAAGCCCAAACGGCTAACTATTCAGAATGGAGCCGTACCATGTTTTCTGGGAGTGCATGAGCTAGTCCCAAGCCTTGCTATTGAAGGAAACATGGGATGGAGCCCTGTGAAATAAGACAGTGGTGAAATGATTAGGTTATGGAACCGTGTTATCAATATGTCAGAGGACAGAATAACAAACAAGGTTCTCAACTGGGCTACAGTGCATTCGGAAAGTATTCAGACCCCTTGACTTTTTCCACATTTTGTTATGTTGCAGCCTTATTCTAAAATGGATTAAATTCGTTTTTTTCCCTCATCAATCTACACAATACCCCATAATGACAAAGCAAAAACAGGTTTTTATAAATTTTAGCAAATTCAGACCCTTTGCTATGAGACTCTAAATTGAGCTCCGGTGCATCATGTTTCCATTGATCATCCTTGAGATGTTTCTACAACTTGATTGGAGTCCACCCGTGGTAAATTCAATTGATTGGACATGATTTGGAAATGCACACACAAGTCTATATAAGGTCCCACAGTTGACAGTGCATGTCAGAGCTAAAACCAAGCCATGAGGTCTAAGGAATTGTCCGTAGAGCTCCGAGACAGGATTGTGTCGAGGCACAGATCTGGGGAAGGGTACCAAAACATTTCTGCAGCATTGAAGGTCCCCAAGAACACAGTGGCCTCCATCATTCTTAAATGGAAGAAGTTTGGAACCACCAAGACTCTTCCTAGAGCTGGCCGCCCGGCCAAACTGAGCAATCGGAGGAGAAGGGCCTTGGACAGGGAAGTGACCAAGAAACTGATGGTCACTCTGACAGAGCTCCAGAGTTCCTCTGTGGAGATGGGTGAACCTTCCAGAAAGACAACAATCTCTGCAGCACTCCACCAATCAGGCCTTTAGGGTAGAGTGGCCAGACGGAAGCCACTCCTCAGTAAAAGGCACATGACAGCCCACTTGGAGTTTGCCAAAAGGCACCTAAAGGACTCTCAGACCATGATAAACAAGATTCTCTGGTCTGATGAAACCAAGATTGAACTCTTTGGCCTGAATGCCAAGTGTCATGTCTGGAGGAAACCTGGCACCATCCCTACGGTGAAGCATGGGGGTGGCAGCATCATGCTGTGGGGATGTTTTTCAGCGGCAGGGACTGGGAGAGTAGTCAGAATCGAGGGAAAGTTGAACGGTTCACCTTCCAACAGGACAATGACCCTAAGCACACAGCCAAGACAACGCAGGAGTGGCTTCTGGAAAAGTCTCTGAATGTCCTTGAGTGGCCCAGCCAGAGCCCGGACTTAAACCCGATCTAACATCTCTGGAGAGACATGAAAATAGCTGTGCAGCGACGCTCCCCATCCAACCTGACAGAGCTTGAGAGGATCTGTAGAGAAGAATGGGAGAAACTCCCCAAATACAGATGTGCCAAGCTTGTAGCGTCATACCCAAGAAGACTCGAGGCTGTAATCACTGCCGAAGGTGCTTCAACAAAGTACTGAGTAAAGGGTCTGAATACTTATGTAAATGTGATATTTACGTTTTTTAAATTTGTATACATTTACAAAAATGTATAACCTGATTTTGCTTTGTCATCATGGGGTATTGTGTGTAGATTGATGAGGGGGAAAAAACAATTGAATCAATTTTAGAATAAGGCTGTAACGTAACAAAATGCGGAAAATGTCAAGGGGTCTGAATACTTTCCGAATGCACTGTCTATGTGCTGTCTGGGATTTAGGGGAGGTGAACTCTCTACCTGTTAAACAGACACTAGGTTTCTATTCCACATATTTGACATCTCCAATTGTCTCCATCTCCATCCCAGCTGATGACATCAAGCCGTGTCCGCGCTGCGCTGCTTACATCATCAAGATGAACGACGGCAGCTGTAACCACATGACCTGTGCTGTGTGCGGCTGTGAGTTCTGCTGGCTCTGCATGAAGGAGATCTCTGACCTGCACTACCTAAGGTGAGAGGCAAAGGAGGAGTTAGGGGGGTGGCAACACTCTCAGTAGTAGTACATCACTATCTCTACAGTAGCCACAGTGTTCTGCCTCTGAATAGCCCCCCCCCCCCCCCCCCCCCCCCCCCTTCCCCTGGCCAGCCTGTCAGGATTGTTGTAATCATCTCTGTCCCCTGGCCAGCCTGTCAGGATTGTGTTGTAATCATATAATGTGTCCGTCTGTCTCTCCCCCCTCCAGCCCGTCAGGCTGCACCTTCTGGGGTAGGAAGCCGTGGAGCAGGAAGAAGAAGATCCTGTGGCAGCTGGGCACGCTGGTGGGCGCTCCGGTGGGCATCGCTCTGATCGCTGGCATCGCCATCCCCGCCATGATCATAGGCATCCCTGTGTATGTGGGGAGAAAGGTGAGGTAACCCTAACACCCTGCAGACTCAGAGTTCATCACATTACATTAGCAGTTGTTTTGACAGGTAGATAAATGGCTTCATTGTTGTCTGGTTATCAGTAATGAGTGTGTGCTGTACACGTGAATGGCAGATGGAAAGTCTAGTAGTCTGTAGTCCACTAACTTATTGGCTTTTCAGTTATAAAGATGCAGCAAAGTGCTGTTAAACTTAACCTACAATGTTGTTTCCAACAACTACTGTATACAAGTCAATGATTACACAGGCTTGTTTTATATGAATACAGACAGCAGGTGAAGTCAATGATTACACAGGCTTGTTTTATATGAACACAGGCAGCAGGTCAAGTCAATGATTACACAGGCTTGTTTTATATGAACACAGACAGCAGCATAATAAAGTGATATCAGTTTGTAGAATTCCCCCTCCAGCCTGCCAAGATGGAACCAGAGCTAGCCAATAGATGGAACCAGAGCTAGCCAATAGATGGAACCAGAGCTAGCCAATAGATGTAGCCAGAGCTAGCCAATAGATGTAGCCAGAGCTAGCCAATAGATGGAACCAGAGCTAGCCAATAGATGTAGCCAGAGCTAGCCAATAGATGTAGCCAGAGCTAGCCAATAGATGTAGCCAGAGCTAGCCAATAGATGGAACCAGAGCTAGCCAATAGATGTAGCCAGAGCTAGCCAATAGATGTAGCCAGAGCTAGCCAATAGATGGAACCAGAGCTAGCCAATAGATGTAGCCAGAGCTAACCAATAGATGGAACCAGAGCTAGCCAATAGATGTAGCCAGAGCTAGCCAATAGATGGAACCAGAGCTAGCCAATAGATGGAACCAGAGCTAACCAATAGATGGAACCAGAGCTAGCCAATAGATGTAGCCAGAGCTAGCCAATAGATGTAGCCAGAGCTAACCAATAGATGTAGCCAGAGCTAGCCAATAGATGGAACCAGAGCTAGCCAATAGATGTAGCCAGAACTAGCCAATAGATGTAGCCAGAGCTAGCCAATAGATGGAACCAGAGCTAGCCAATAGATGGAACCAGAGCTAGCCAATAGATGTAGCCAGAGCTAGCCAATAGATGTAGCCAGAGCTAGCCAATAGATGTAGCCAGAGCTAACCAATAGATGGAACCAGAGCTAGCCAATAGATGTAGCCAGAGCTAGCCAATAGATGGAACCAGAGCTAGCCAATAGATGTAGCCAGAGCTAACCAATAGATGGAACCAGAGCTAGCCAATAGATGTAGCCAGAGCTAGCCAATAGATGTAGCCAGAGCTAGCCAATAGATGTAGCCAGAGCTAGCCAATAGATGTAGCCAGAGCTAGCCCAATAGATGTAGCCAGAGCTAGCCAAGATGTAGCCAGAGCTAGCCATAGATGTAGCCAGAGCTAGCCAATAGATGTAGCCAGAGCTAGCCAATAGATGTAGCCAGAGCTAGCCAATAGATGTAGCCAGAGCTAGCCAATAGATGTAGCCAGAGCTAGCCAATAGATGTAGCCAGAGCTAGCCAATAGATGTAGCCAGAGCTAGCCAATAGATGGAACCAGAGCTAACCAATAGATGTAGCCAGAGCTAGCCAATAGATGTAGCCAGAGCTAGCCAATAGATGTAGCCAGAGCTAGCCAATAGATGTAGCCAGAGCTAGCCAATAGATGGAACCAGAGCTAGCCAATAGATGTAGCCAGAGCTAGCCAATAGATGTAGCCAGAGCTAGCCAATAGATGTAGCCAGAGCTAGCCAATAGATGGAACCAGAGCTAGCCAATAGATGTAGCCAGAGCTAGCCAATAGATGGAACCAGAGCTAGCCAATAGATGGAACCAGAGCTAGCCAATAGATGTAGCCAGAGCTAGCCAATAGATGTAGCCAGAGCTAGCCAATAGATGTAGCCAGAGCTAGCCAATAGATGTAGCCAGAGCTAGCCAATAGATGGAACCAGAGCTAGCCAATAGATGTAGCCAGAGCTAGCCAATAGATGTAGCCAGAGCTAGCCAATAGATGTAGCCAGAGCTAGCCAATAGATGGAACCAGAGCTAGCCAATAGATGGAACCAGAGCTAGCCAATAGATGTAGCCAGAGCTAGCCAATAGATGTAGCCAGAGCTAGCCAATAGATGGAACCAGAGCTAGCCAATAGATGGAACCAGAGCTAGCCAATAGATGGAACCAGAGCTAGCCAATAGATGTAGCCAGAGCTAGCCAATAGATGGAACCAGAGCTAGCCAATAGATGGAACCAGAGCTAGCCAATAGATGGAACCAGAGCTAGCCAATAGATGTAGCCAGAGCTAGCCAATAGATGTAGCCAGAGCTAGCCAATAGATGTAGCCAGAGCTAGCCAATAGATGGAACCAGAGCTAGCCAATAGATGGAACCAGAGCTAGCCAATAGATGGAACCAGAGCTAGCCAATAGATGTAGCCAGAGCTAGCCAATAGATGGAACCAGAGCTAGCCAATAGCCAAACACTGCATCACTCATGCAATGTGTTTTTAGTAAGTCTAGAGTCATGGTACTCCTCACAGTACAGTGACCCCTGACCTAACCCTGTCTGTCAGATCCATAACCCCTGACCTCTAACCTCCATATGTCAGATCCTTACCCATTACCTCCATCTGTCTGTCAGATCCATAATCCCTGACCTCTAACCCTGTCTCTGTCTCTACAGAGTTGGGTAAAGCTGCTTTTAGTTTTTTTGGGGCCCTTTATGTGGAACAACTCACAGAGATCTCTGAAATGAGATGTTCTGGACCCCCTTAGTCAGTTCAGAGTAATGATCAGAGACCTCTATGTTGATAAATGTATTTTTCTTAATACAGTGCATTCTGAAAGTATTCAGACCCCTTGACTTTTTCCACATTTTGTTACGTTAGTCTTATTCTAAAATGGATTTAAATTTAAAACATCCTCATCAATCTACACACAATACCCCATAATGACAAAGAAAAAACAGGTTTGCAAATGTATTAAAAATCCAAAAACTGAAATATCACATTTACATAAGTATTCAGACTCTTCACTCAGTACTTTGTTGAAGCACCTTTGGCAGCGATTACAGCCTCGAGTCGTCTTGGGTATGACGCTACAAGCTTGGCACACCTGTATTTGGGGAGTTTCTCCCATTCTTCTCTGCAGATCCTCTCAAGCTCTGTCAGGAGGAATGGGGAGCGTCGCTGCACAGCTATTTTCAGGTCTCTCCTGAGATGTTCGATCGGGTTCAAGTCTGGGCTCTGGCTCGGCCACTCAAGGATATTGACACTTGTCCCGAAGCCACTCCTGCGTTGTCTTGGCTGTGTGCTTAGGGTCATTGTCCTGTTGGAAGGTGAACCTTTGCCCCAGTCTGAGGTCCTGAGCGCTCTGGAGCAGGTTTTCATCAAGAATCTCTCTGTACTTTGCTCCGTTCATCTTTCCCTCGATCCTGACTTGTCTCCCAGTCCCTGCCGCTGAAATACATCCCCACAGCATGATGCTGCCACCACCATGCTTCACCGTAGGGATGGTACCAGGTTTCCTCCAGACGTGACACTTTCAGGCCAAAGAGTTCAATCTTGGTGGCTGTCATGTGCCTTTTACTGAAGAGTGGCTTCCGTCTGGCCACTCCACCATAAAGCCCTAATTGGTGGAGTGCTGCAGATATGGTTGTCCTTCTGGAAGGTTCTCCCATCTCCACAGAGGAACTCTGGAGCTCTGTCAGAGTGACCATCGGGTTCTTGGTCACCTCCTTGACCAAGGCCCTTCTCCCATGATTGCTCTGTTTGGCCGGGCGGCCAGCTCTAGGAAGAGTCTTGGTGGTTCCAAACTTCTGCCATTTAAGAATGATGGAGGCCACTGTGTTCTTGGGATCTTCAATGCTGCAGAAATTTTTTGATACCCTTTTTGATACCCTGTCGAGATCTGCGCCTCGACACAATCCTGTCTCGGAGCTCTACGGACAGTTCCTTCGACCTCATGGTTTGGTTTAAGCTCTGACATGCACTGTCAACTGTGGGACCTTATAAAGACAGGTGTGTGCCTTTCCAAATCATGTCCAATCAATTGAATTTACCACAGGTGGACTCCAATCAAGTTGTAGAAACATGTCAAGGATGATCAATGGAAACAGGATGCACCTGAGGTCAATTTTGAGTCTCATAGCAAAGGGTCTGAATACTTATGTAAATAAGGTACCTGTTTTTATTTTTTTATAAATTTGCTAAAATTTATAAAAACCTGTTCGCTTTGTCATTATGGGGTATTCTGTGTAGATTGATGAAGATTTGTATTTATTCAATCCATTTTAGAATAAGGTTGTAACGTAACAAAATGTGGAAAAAGGGAAGGGGTCTGAATACTTTCTGAATGCACTGTATGTTTTAATATGTTTTGTAATAGTGTATATTGCATAGTGTACTGTATGTATTGGTTGTGTTTATGCAGGGCTCATCTGGAAAAGAGACCCTAGTCTTAGTAGGACTTCCCTGTCAAAATACCGGTTAAAGAAGATCTATAACCCCTGACCTCTAACCCAGTCTGTCTCTCAGATCCATAACCCCTGACCTCTAACCCCTGTTTGTCTGTCAGATCCATAACCCCTGACCTCTAACCCCTGTTTGTCTGTCAGATCCATAACCCCTGACCTCTAACCCCTGTTTGTCTGTCAGATCCATAACCCCTGACCTCTAACCCCTGTTTGTCTGTCAGATCCATAACCCCTGACCTCTAACCCCTGTTTGTCTGTCAGATCCATAACCCCTGACCTCTAACCCCTGTTTGTCTGTCAGATCCATAAACCCTGACTTCTAACCCCTGTTTGTCTGTCAGATCCATAACCCCTGACCTCTAACCCCTGTTTGTCTGTCAGATCCATAACCCCTGACCTCTAACCCCTGTTTGTCTGTCAGATCCATAACCCCTGACCTCTAACCCCTGTTTGTCTGTCAGATCCATAACCCCTGACCTCTAACCCCTGTTTGTCTGTCAGATTATAACCCCTGACCTCTAACCCCTGTTTGTCTGTCAGATCCATAACCCCTGACCTCTAACCCCTGTTTGTCTGTCAGATTATAACCCCTGACCTCTAACCCCTGTTTGTCTGTCAGATCCATAACCCCTGACCTCTAACCCGTCTGTTTGTCTCTCAGATCCATAACCGCTATGAAGGGAAGGACATCTCTCCTCACAGGAGGAACCTGGTGATAGCAGGAGGAGTCACTCTGTCTGTCTTCATGTCCCCCGTGGTGGCAGCCGTCTCTGTCGGTCAGTACACTTTACTCTGTCTGCAGGGAAGGAAATTAACTTTAATGCAGTGGCTGGTGGATGCCCAAATTTAACCAGCCACATTTTCTTCCGAAGATAAATGTAATGTTAAAACAACACACACATAAACATGTTCTTTTATTATTTTGCATGTGGGCTTTTTTTTTTGTTGATCCCAAATGCTCTGTGTGACCACCTGCCAATGTGGCTGGTAAGAATACACATTCTACTAGCCAATACCAAAATCTACCAGCATGTGACTGGTGTTAACCCTGTCTGTCACTCTGTGTCTGTCATCGTGTCCCCCGTGGTGGCAGCGGTCACTGTCGGTCAGTACACTTTACTATGTAGCTTTACACCAAGAATACTACTGACCACAAGCTTTGTGGCTTCCCCGGCTGGGAACAACACTTCTGTTTTCCTTGACAACCTGTAACACTGAACAACTGTAGCTTCCTGTCTGGCAAGGTTGGCCGATGATTGTCTGAGAGACTCATAAAGCTAAGAGAGTTTGTGCCCAGCTTATTGATTTGTTATTGTTTACCATTGCTGCATTTTTCATTGAAGTTCACCTTATGTTAAATCATTAGTTTCCTTTCAAACTGAGTTCTATGTTTTTTCTCTAATACACTAAAATTAGGAAGTAGTGACTGACTGTGCTGTTAGGAGACACAGTGTTCTCTGGTTGTTAAGATGAGGAAGTAGTGACTGACGGTGCTGTTAGAAGACACAGTGGTCTCTCGTTGTTAAGATGAGGAAGTAGTGACTGACGGTGCTGTTAGGAGACACAGTGTTCTCTGGTTGTTAAGATGAGGAAGTAGTGACTGACGGTGCTGTTAGAAGACACAGTGGCCTCTGGTTGTTAAGATGAGGAAGTAGTGACTGACGGTGCTGTTAGAAGACACAGTGGTCTCTCGTTGTTAAGATGAGGAAGTAGTGACTGACGGTGCTGTTAGGAGACACAGTGTTCTCTGGTTGTTAAGATGAGGAAGTAGTGACTGACGGTGCTGTTAGAAGACACAGTGGCCTCTGGTTGTTAAGATGAGGAAGTAGTGACTAACGGTGCTGTTAGAAGACACAGTGGCCTCTGGTTGTTGTCTACTGTCCCTCCTGAGGGTGTGAGGTGGTTCACGTTCTCTCTCTGTCTGTGTGTGTGTGTCTGTGTGTGTGTGTCCAGGCATCGGTGTGCCCATCATGCTGGCGTACGTGTACGGCGTGGTGCCCATCTCTCTGTGTCGCAGCGGAGGCTGTGGTGTCTCCGCCGGTAACGGGAAAGGAGTCCGCATCGAGTTTGACGACGAGAACGAGATGAACGTAAGGAGTGGGGCGCAAGCTACTGGTACGTCACACACACACACACACACACACACACACACACACACACACACACACACACTGAGGAACCTCATGTGTTTAGTCTGAATCAGTTGTGGGAGCTGACTATTTGTGACTGGACTCTCTAAAGGAGGAGAATGTTCTGCCAGTTGTCTGTTGTCTAAGGGTTTGACATCTTTTCTAGAAGATCTGCAAAGGCCATAGAATGCAGTGAACCGACAAGAGAAAGGCCTTGCTGCCGAAGCCTTGACAATAAAGTCTCCATCCTATCCTCTTTGTTTTTCAATAGTGTAGAGCAGTGGTTCCCTACTCCAGTCCTCCAGTACCCCAACAGCCCAACTCCAGTCCTCCAGTAGCCCAACTCCAGTCCTCCAGTAGCCCAACTCCAGTCCTCCAGTACCCCAACAGCCCAACTCCAGTCCTCGAGTACCCCAACAGCCCAACTCCAGTCCTCCAGTACCCCAACAGCCCAACTCCTGTCCTCCAGTACCCCCAACAGCCCAACTCCAGTCCTCCAGTACCCCAACAGCCCAACTCCAGTCCTCCAGTACCCCAACAGCCCAACTCCAGTCCTCCAGTACCCCCAACAGCCCAACTCCAGTCCTCCAGTACCCCAACAGCCCAACTCCAGTCCTCCAGTACCCCAACAGCCCAACTCCAGTCCTCCAGTACCCCAACAGCCCAACTCCAGTCCTCCAGTACCCCAACAGCCCAACTCCAGTCCTCCAGTATCCCCAACAGCCCATCTCCAGTCCTCCAGTATCCCCAACAGCCCAACTCCAGTCCTCCAGTACCCCAACAGCCCAACTCCAGTCCTCCAGTACCCCCAACAGCCCAACTCCAGTCCTCCAGTATCCCCAACAGCCCAACTCCAGTCCTCCAGTATCCCCAACAGCCCAACTCCAGTCCTCCAGTATCCCCAAACAGCCCAACTCCAGTCCTCCAGTACCCCCAACAGACCAACTCCCAGTCCTCCAGTATCCCCAACAGACCCAACTCCAGTCCTCCAGTATCCCCAACAGACCAACTCCAGTACCCCAACAGCCCAACTCCAGTACCCCAACAGCCCAACTCCAGTCCTCCCCAACAGCCCAACTCCAGTCCTCCAGTACCCCAAACAGCCCCAACTCAAGTCCTCCAGTACCCCAAACAGCCCAACTCCAGTCCTTCAGTACCCCAACAGCCCAACTCCAGTCCTCCAGTACCCCAACAGCCCAACTCCAGTCCTCCAGTCCCCCCAACAGCCCAACTCCATTGCGCCCAGTATCCCACAGCCCACTCCAGTCCTCCAGTACCCCCAACAGCCCAACTCCAGTCCTCCAGTACCCCCAACAGCCCAACTCCAGTCCTCCAGTACCCCCCAACAGCCCAACTCCAGTCCTCCAGTACCCCAACAGCCCAACTCCAGTCCTCCAGTACCCCAACAGCCCAACTCCAGTCCTCCAGTATCCCCAACAGCCCATCTCCAGTCCTCCAGTATCCCCAACAGCCCAACTCCAGTCCTCCAGTACCCCAACAGCCCAACTCCAGTCCTCCAGTACCCCCAACAGCCCAACTCCAGTCCTCCAGTATCCCCAACAGCCCAACTCCAGTCCTCCAGTATCCCCAACAGCCCAACTCCAGTCCTCCAGTATCCCCAACAGCCCAACTCCAGTCCTCCAGTATCCCCAACAGCCCAACTCCAGTCCTCCAGTATCCCCAACAGCCCAACTCCAGTCCTCCAGTATCCCCAACAGCCCAACTCCAGTACCCCAACAGCCCAACTCCAGTCCTCCCCAACAGCCCAACTCCAGTCCTCCAGTACCCCCAACAGCCCAACTCCAGGACTGGAATTTGGCTGTTAGGGGTACTGGAGGACTGGAGTTGGAAACCACTGCTCTGGGGGGGAAATGGGGGGATTATTTTTTATTTTTTTTTAAGAGCGTCTCTGATGAACTCCTCCTCTCTCCCCTGTCTCCTCAGACACGACCTCTGTGGCGGACACGAGGAACAACCCCAGCATCGGAGAGGGCAGCGTGGGGGGTATGACCAGCAGTCTGAGTGCCAGCGGGAGCCACGTGGACCGGATGGGCGCCATGAGGGACAACCTGAGTGAGAACGCCTCCACCATGGCGCTGGCTGGGGCCAGCATCACCGGCTCTCTGTCTGGCAGCGCCATGGTCAACTACCTAAACAGGTCAGTACTTTTTATTTGATTGAACCTTTATTAAACCAGGTTAGTGTCGTTGAGATAAAGAAAAATTCAAGAGAGACCTGAACCAAGACAGCAGCATCAACACATCAGTTTCAGACAAACGGTCACATGACATCACCCAGACAGACGTCAATACAACAAACATCCTGCCCGTAACCGGCCGCCTGCCCGGAACTAACATGTACACCACATAAGCCAGAAAGACGTTTTAAAAAGCCCCCAAAAATGTTTTTGTCACATCCACTGGATAGGTGGATTTGTACAGGGTCAGTCATAGTAGTATGATAGGTGCAGTGTAATGTGTTGTTTTACAGGGTCAGTCATAGTAGTATGATAGGTGTAGTGTAATGTGTTGTTTTACAGGGTCAGTCATAGTAGTATGATAGGTGTAGTGTAATGTGTTGTTTTACAGGGTCAGTCATAGTACCGGTAGTATGATAGGTGTTGTTTTACAGGGTCAGTCATCGTAGTATGATAGGTGCAGTGTAATGTGTTGTTTTACAGGGTCAGTCATAGTAGTATGATAGGTGCAGTGTAATGTTGTTTTACAGGGTCAGTCATAGCAGTACTGTACACAAGATGCTTTCTTACCAGCATCAGGTGACTACTAGAAACTACTGCACATCTCAACAACCTGTTCATCTATTTGTGTTTTGAACTCCTCTAGTGACACCAGGTCCTGGAGTTTTAGGTTGGGTCAACTCCTCAACAGGTCCGTGTTAGGGTAACTACCTCAACAGGTCAGTGTTAGTCAACTACTCAACGGTCAGTGTAGGGTAAACTACCTCAACAGTCAGTTGTTCGGGTCAACTACCTCAACCGGTCAGTGTTTAGGTCACTACCTCAACAGTCGTGTTAGGGTCAACTACCTCAACAGGTCAGTGTTAGGGTCAACTACCTCAACAGGTCAGTGTTAGGGTCAACTAATGAGAGGCTGGGCAGCAGGATGACCTTACTGTCAGGTGGTTGGTTGTGGCTGTAGGTCCATCTGGTATTGTGTGTATTGTGACTGGCTATGTGCAGGTCTCCCTCGCAAAATACACAAGGTCTGATCCCTCTCCTCTCCTCTCCTCTCCTTCCTCCTCTCCTTCCTTCCCTCTCCTCTCCTCTCCTCTCCTTCTCCTCTCCTCTCCTCTTCCTCTCCTCTCCCTCCTCTCCTCTCCTCTCCTCTCCTCTCCTCTCCTCTCCCTCCTCTCCTCTCCTCTCCTCTCCTCTCCTCTCCTCTCCTCTCCTCTCCTCTCCTCCCCTGCTCCAGGTTGGAGGTGCAGGCTGATGTTCAGAAGGAGAGGTGTAGTCTCAGTGGAGAGTCAGCCACCTTCAGCTTGGGGACAATCAGTGACAACGCTAGCACCAAAGCAATGGCTGGATCCATTCTCAACTACAGGTCAGGGCAATGTCTTTGGAAACGTTAACATTTCTGTTCAATGATATCCCCACAAAGGACTAGTTGTGTCTGACCCTGTAAACATCTCTTCCTCTTGACTCTTGCTTTCTGTTTCATGGTGTGTTGTGTCCTGTGTAGAGATGGGACCAGTATGGAGGTGCAGGTGGACGTAGAGCCTGGTAAGTCTGGCGGTAAACTACGGTACCACAGTGGTACCAGCAGGATGGATGATGGGAGACACGCTGGGCGCTGTAGCTGGTCCTGCCCCTCTGGATGCCCCTCAGAGGGCCAGGATGGCACCACCAAGTCCAAGCTGAAGAAAGAAGGAGGCTCTAAGACCCAGGAGAGGAGGGAGGATATGGACGCTCGGCTCCTTGAGCAGCACAGCACCAACTCCTCAGAGTTTGACTCCTCCCTCAGCGGCTCTCTCCCCTCTGTAGCCGACTCTCACTCCTCCCACTTGTCAGAGTTCAGCGGTGGCTCTGACCTGGAGAGCATGAAGATGTCCTGCAGCTGCAGCCATGGATCCCCCTCTGACTACCACGCCCGCTTCACCACAGTCAGCCCTCTGCCTGAAGTAGAGGGGGACCGGCTGGAGACGTTGCCCTCACCCCAAGGTGTCCTCTCCCATCCTCACTCCCCCACCTCCCCCTGCTCCTGTCTGGAGGTGTCAGTCTCCCCTCTGTGTCTGATAGCAGAGGAGAACATCAACCAGGTGTGTCCTGCAAAGGCAGAGTGGGACTCTACTAGCGGAGGAGAACTTCCCATTGGAGAGCTGCTGAAGGAGAACAATTACAACCTGCAAGCCCCTCCCCCCAGCCTGCTCCAGAACTCCTGTATTCAGATGCAAGCCCCTCCCCCCAGCCTGCTCCAGAACTCCTGTATTCAGACTGAGATCTGATCTGACATACCACCACCATTTTTGGTTTCACAGTATATTTTTCCAGAAGACAAAAGCTTTGAATGGACATTTCTGTCCTCAGAAGCGTGGAAAAGAAATAAAGCAGAAATGTTGAAAGCGCAGTGAAGCCTCAGCTCAGTCAGTAGACTAGTTAATAACAGGAAGGTGAATGCTGGTGTTTCCTGTCATGTGACCCTATTGCAGTGTTCTGACTGGCTGCTGTCCCTCCCTACAACACACCTCACAGCAGGAGTGAAAGAGAACCACTGTGCCACTGACCTCCGGGCAGACTGTCAGTCAAGCTAGAGATCAGGATGCAACACACAGGAACCTTCAAGCTCTCAATCGCAAAGTTGAACTTGAATATGAACCAGGCAATAGTATAATTACCATTCTTTTTAGTTTTAAAATGAGTTCATAAATAGGCCACTTCTGTTCAGTGATGATGTGTATTTATTATAATTCGATACTAGCCCGCTGGAAGGAATTTAAAAGCCTGGTAGTAGTCTATATATCTACGGCTAGCTGAGAGGGACAAAGTACTGGAGCAGAGTACTGTTGCTAGGTAGAAGTAGAGCTGGGTCTCTGGAAGGCCATGGTTTAAACATCGCAAAGATGGACGAATCACGCTGAGGGTTAATTATCATAACCACAACCCATCAGTCAGTTCCTTGAAATTGTTTAACAAATATTTTTCAACCTTCAGTAAAATGAAATTTTGCTTTTCTTTTTCAGGCTGAAGAAGCTTTCACCTCACAGAGTAACTTTTCTATCTGTTCTAACCAATGGTTTATATATACACTAGATGACTGATAGGGGGCGCTGTGTTGAATCCACCGTGCCTCCATCTTGGCACTCCCTCACTATTGTAAAAAATATTTTGGAAGCTAAAGAAATGCATTTAATGTCTACTTCCGTTTTTACCACATTTATTCTATTACAGACACCTTAATGCATACTTTTAAGTTATTATGTGAGCTAAACATACAAATAAAAAAATATATAACACTTTCCTTAAAGTATCATTTTTTTAGATTAATGTTACTGTCCCCACAACAACAACAACAACAAATACTTCAATGCATGTTGTTCCTTGAAACATTTGATTGAAATACTGTAGAATTCCATTCATTCCTCTGGAGGACTGCTGCTACTGGGGAGTGCCAAAATGGCCGACCGGTGGCTTCAAAGCATCTCATTGGCCAATACATAGCGTCAGCAAGCCAGGGTTTATATACATTGGTTATTACTCATTGTGCCTTACAAAGAGAAAAACAGCTTTTATTTTCAAATTGTCTGCATATCTCCATGTCTTCTAGACTTAAAAACAGATTTCAGATGGTCTCTCTGACCATGTCAGGAGATACTAGACTGGTAGGGCTTCATAGTACTGTGGTAGACTACATGACTTGTTCAATTGCCTACCAAAGACAGCACTCAGGCTCTTGATAACGCTTGTTCCTGGTAACCCTTGATGATGTCTGTTCGCCATCCCCAGACTCCACATGGTGCAGCGTTTTTACACGGTGGTGTAAATTATGTCAAATAAAGACCCAGGAATATACAGAGTGCTTTTTTGTCCAATACGCTTTACAAATGCTACGCAAATAACTAAATGTACTGCAATGCTCAGACTGTATGGGGATACCATCAGTTGGGTTCCCTCCCCTCTATTCCTGGCTGCGTCCCAAATGTCACCCTGTTCGCCAACACAGTGCACAGGTATTGCACTATATAGAGAACAGGGTGACATTTGGGCCGCAGCCCGTCTGTTCCGTGTCTCCTACCGGTCTATGAAGCCGTTTTGTGTTGCTGAATGATGATCCCTCTCTGGACTGATGTAAATGCCACATGCTGCTGCCCCCCCCCCCCCCCTCACACACTTTGTTTGGGTTTATTCCTGTTGTTTAATTCTCTGCCCTCTCCATTTCCTGTTGTTGAATTCTATGCCCTCTCCATTTCCTGTTGTTGAATTCTATGCCCTCTCCATTTCCTGTTGTTGAATTCTATGCCCTCTCCATTTCCTGTTGTTTAATTCTATGCCCTCTCCATTTCCTGTTGTTTAATTCTCTGCCCTCTCCATTTCCTGTTGTTTAATTCTATGCCCTCTCCATTTCCTGTTGTTTAATTCTATGCCCTCTCCATTTCCTGTTGTTTAATTCTATGCCCTCTCCATTTACCTTCCTATACTTTGAACACTAGTGCCAGGTAGATTTTCTCATTTGTGCAGAATGACATTATCCTGGCCCCAGATCTGTGTTTGGCGTGGCAATGACCATAGCAGTTGGAAAGACCGCACAAACAGATCTGGGACCAGGCTAGAATGGCATTTAAGGTATATTTGTTTGCTAATTTGCTTCATAATATGTGTGTAAATGCATATCTAAAAAAATATAAAATACATATGAACAACCCTTTTCCTGGTCATTCTCTCCTAATGTTTTAGTAATGGTAGTGACTCAATGTTGAGACACAATGAATGTGTGTTGTAGTGGCTTGGAGAAGGACACTAAATGCAGTAATGGAACTGCTGTTCTAGTTTAATGGATCACAGACCAGCATGTGAGTCATGAGGGGGGTTCTACTAAGCTAACAGATGGAATTGTTTTAAGATGGTCATACCATGGATCATTTAGAGATAAGAAAGCTCAGGAATTATACATTTCTTTTCTTTTTTTTACACATTTTTAACCCCTTTTGGGGTGCACAAAACTACTTCCATAAACAAATTTAAACAGGTACCAGGTTACCTTCAGACGAGAATACCATCGTGTTCGTGAGAGTCTCCCCTTTCTATAGTAGGGTCACATTAGTTTGTAGGCCAAACCTTTCGGATGCTACAGACGTTTTCGTGAAACGTTTTTCGGGATGTCTCCTTGTCTGACAAACAGCGCTGTAGCTCTGCCACTTTCCACAAAAAAACAGATACATTACATGACCAAAAGTATGTGGACACCTGCTCGTCGAATATCTCATTCCAAAATCATGGGTATAAATACGGAGTTTGTCCCCCCTTTTACTGCTATAACAGCCTCCATCTTCTGGAAAGGCTTTACACTAGATGTTGGAACATTGCCACGAGGACTTGCTTCCATTCAGCCACAAGAGCATTAGTGATGTTGGGCGATTAGGCCTGGCTCGCAGTCGGCGTTCCAATTCATCCCAAAGGTGTTCGGTGGGGTTGAGGTCAGGGTTCTGTGCAGGCCAGACAAGTTCTTCCACACCGATCTCGACAAACCATTTCTGTATGGACCTCGCTTTGTGCACGGGGGCATTGTCATGCTGAAACAGGAAAGGGCCTTCCCCAAACTGTTGCCACAAAATTGGATGCACAGCATCGCGTTTCCACTGCTCCAGAGTCCAATGGTGGCGAGCTTTACACCACTCCAGCCGACGCTTGGCATTCCGCATGGTGATCTTAGGCTTGTGTGCGGCTGCTCGGCCATGGAAACCCATTTCATGAAGCTCCCGACCAACAGTTCTTGTGCTGACGTTGCTTCCAGAGGCAGTTTGGAATTCGGTTAGTGAGTGTTGCAACTGAGGACTGATGATTTTAACGGCACTTCAGCACTCGGACGGTGCCGTTCTGTGAGCTTGTGTGGCCTACCAACAATGGTTGTCTATGGAGATTGCATGGCCTGTGTGCTCGATTTTATACACCCGACGGCTTATGTGTGGCTGAAATAGGCCGAATCCACTAATTTGAAGAGGTGTTCACTACTTTTGTCTATTATTAGTCGTATCTTCTATTAGAATCCACTAATTTGAACAGGGTCCAAGCTGTTATTGTATCTCTATTAGACTCCACTATCTGAAGACTGTATATTAGGGTATCTCTATTAGAAATCACTAATATGAAGAGGTGTCCACATTAAAGTGTATAATAGTGTATCTCTAGATTAAACGACTGATTGTGATGGGGGATTGTTATGTGAATTAGATTGACACAGGTGAATCAATCGACTCTAGGGGGTTAAAACACTGAGACCCATTAAAACACTAGAGGAAACCACAGCATCATGGGACCCATTAAAACACTAGAGGAAACCACAGCATCATGGGACCCATTAAAACACTAGAGGAAACCACAGCACAGCATCATGGCGGTAGTCTTCAGTCTCCTGTCTCTGGCAGATTTCAGTTTTAGTAACAATAAGAATCAAGGGGACAGTTGATGGTCTTCAGTTTTATTCAACTGCATTTTTCCACAACATAATATATTCACAATCATTATGTGATTTGTATAGTATCAGAGAAATAAGCCTGTATAAAGTATTTATTTATCCCAGTTTTATTGTTAAAGAACATTACAATTTTGACTTCTTAAAACACATTTGTACATATTTTTTGCAAAGCTACTGTAATAGAATAGAATGGGTAAACCGTCTCTCTCTCTCTTGCTCTCTCTCTCTCTCTCTCTCTCTCTCTCTCTCTCTCTCCACTAGACTGCTGACCATGCAGCTATCTCTCTCTCTCCACTAGACTGCTGACCATGCAGCTATCTCTCTCTCTCTCCACTAGACTGCTGACCATGCAGCTATCTCTCTCCCTCCACTAGACTGTTGACCAGGCAGCTATCTCTCTCTCTCCCTCTCTCTCCCCCTCTCTATCTCTCTCTCTCTCTCTCCCCCTCCACTAGACTGCTGACCATGCAGCTATCTCTCTCTCTCCACTAGACTGCTGACCATGCAGTTATCTCTCTCTCTCCACTAGACTGCTGACCATGCAGCTATCTCTCTCTCTCCACTAGACTGCTGACCATGCAGCTATCTCTCTCCCTCCACTAGACTGCTGACCATGCAGCTATCTCTCTCTCTCTCTCTCCCTCTCCCCCTACTAGACTGCTGACCATGCAGCTATTGCTTCAGGCTTTAACAGCTGCCTGTCTGCTCCACTCATCTCCCTGAATTCAACATGGTACATTCATTAATTTAGATTATTTTGAGGTTGAAGAAGAACAACACGCTAACATTTTGACAAGTCATTTAAACGTTTCAACATACATCTGAAATCTGTACACGACAAAACAGTCTAGATCCAAAAGCTGAACTCCAAAGGCACACATCTCACAAAGATGTTGCATATCTTCTCTCCACTGTGAGCATGGCTGCTTGTTAGACAGCATTAGCCTGCTGACTACTGCAGATGGAAGGGTGCTGCTGCTGACTGACTGACTGGGCCATATTTGATTTTCAAATGAAGGGCCTGCCTGGGCATTTTCATAACTTCTGGTCATTTCTTCCAAAGAGAGATGTTTTTTACACAGTTACAGTACTTTGTAGGCAACATAATGAACCAATGTTTCTCCTGTAAATCGTTCTAGAAAGAAAGACTTTGTATGTACCTTGAATTGCAGTACTGTATAATCAGTATTGTGCACATTGCAATTTGCTTCATCATTGTTTTCATACAAGTGGAGTTATTCACAGAACTGAGGCAACTGCCAAAATAGCATTTTATTTCTAGACAGAGAATGGATGGTTAATACTCCCTGAACCCCAGTGGTAATAGTGCTTATGGATTGTTTTATGCGTGGTTAATATTCTGATATGCAGCATGCATGAATCTAGTTTAATTTCAGGATGATAAGCTGTAGTGTTTTCTGAAAAGCCCCTGGGCCGACGCTAGCCGAGTCAAGTCATCATGCCTTCTAGCTAGAATTGATGTCCTTCCTGTTTATTTCTGGCCGGTACAATTCAACCTCTATTGGCCAGTCAAGTAGCCTGGAAAGTAGTCACACATTGATATGGGTGTTATCTGATTTGAATGGTTCTGCAGCCTGGGGACTGGACTTGGCTGCAGCACATGGACCCAGAGGGGAACGCTTGCAGATATCCTGTACATTGGACCTATGTTCTTAAAGCTTGAATAGTTCACAGCATTTTTATATATACTGCCAGTCAACTAACTAACGCTAAAACAGTTCCAGGTAAAAAAAGGTATTTGGAGAGCGAAATACCTAGTAACGGTAGGTAGAGATATGATATTATATCAAGAGAACATGAGAGGTTGGTTTGGGTCCATAATGCTTCTGAGCTGTGTTGTGCCACGTTGCATAGATCCAGTATGTTATGTTGAAGCGTCATGCAGGACAGGAGGGTGCAGGACAGAGAAAAGGGCCGTGTTCCAGAACATAAAAACCGTGTTGTGTCATGGGTAAATTGTGACTGATTGACCTACAAATAATATTGAGTATTTATTTATGATGCAAGGTGATTTGCAGTCTCGACTCGTATTTCAAGTCGACAGCAATGTTGAACACGCCCTAAAAACTGTCCCAAATGGCACCCTGTTCCCTCTATAGTGCACTAGGGAATAGGGTGCCATTTGGGACAGACCCCAGCAGGCCAGACAGGGTCAGAGGTTAGAGGTCAGATGTACTTGTTGGCCAGGTTCTGCACATCGTTCTTACTGAAGGTATCGCTGTCCACAGCAGACAGACGGTCAAACAGCCGAGTCATCTGACCACGTTCACTCTTCTCTAGCAGCATCACAACTACCTGTTAATACACAGAGACGGGTTAACGCAGCGTCACAACTACCTGTTAATACACAGAGACGGGTTAACACAGCATCACAACTACCTGTTAATACACAGAGACGGGTTAACACAGCGTCACAACTACCTGTTAATACACAGAGACGGGTTAACACAGCGTCACAACTACCTGTTAATACACAGAGACGGGTTAACACAGCGTCACAACTACCTGTTAATACACAGAGACGGGTTAACACAGCATCACAACTACCTGTTAATACACAGAGACGGGTTAACACAGCATCACAACTACCTGTTAATACACAGAGACGGGTTAACACAGCATCACAACTACCTGTTAATACACAGAGACGGGTTAACACAGCGTCACAACTACCTGTTAATACACAGAGACGGGTTAACACAGCGTCACAACTACCTGTTAATACACAGAGACGGGTTAACACAGCGTCACAACTACCTGTTAATACACAGAGACGGGTTAACACAGCGTCACAACTACCTGTTAATACACAGAGACGGGTTAACACAGCGTCACAACTACCTGTTAATACACAGAGACGGGTTAACACAGCGTCACAACTACCTGTTAATACACAGAGACGGGTTAACACAGCGTCACAACTACCTGTTAATACACAGAGACGGGTTAACACAGCGTCACAACTACCTGTTAATACACAGAGACGGGTTAACACAGCGTCACAACTACCTGTTAATACACAGAGACGGGTTAACACAGCGTCACAACTACCTGTTAATACACAGAGACGGGTTAACACAGCGTCACAACTACCTGTAAATACACAGAGACGCGCTAACACAGCGTCACAACTACCTGTTAATACACAGAGACGGGTTAAACACAGCATCACAACTACCTGTTAATACACAGAGACGGTAACACAGGGACTGTTAATACACAGGGTTAACACAGCGTCACAACTACCTGTTAATACACAGAGACGGGTTAACACAGCGTCACAACTACCTGTTAATACACAGAGACGGGTTAACACGCGTCACAACTACCTGTTAATACACAGAGACGGGTTAACACAGCGTCACAACTACCCTGTTAATACACAGAGACGGGTTAAACACAGCGTCACAAACTACCTGTTAATACACAGAGACGGGTTAACACAGCGTCACAACTACCGTTAATACACAGAGACGGGTTAACGCAGCATCACAACTACCTGTTAATACACAGAGACGGGTTAACGCAGCATCACAAACACCTGTTAATACACAGAGGACGGGTTAACGCAGCATCACAACTACCTGTTAATACACAGAGACGGGTTAACACAGCGTCCCAACTACCTGTTAATACACAGAGACGGGTTAACACAGCATCACAACTACCTGTTAATACACAGAGACGGGTTAACACAGCGTCACAACTACCTGTTAATACACAGAGACGGGTTAACACAGCGTCACAACTACCTGTACAAACATACAGAGACACACAGTGGCCTTAAAAAATGTACCAAACTGTTCCATTGTACACTCTAATGCTGTTTCCCATGATTAGTATCAATAAACAATGCAACACAAGAGACACACAGGGGTCAAAACAGCAGCATCAGTCCTACTACCTGCAGCACAGAGAGACTGTTTACATTTACATTTACATTTTAGTCATTTAGCAGACGCTCTTATCCAGAGCGACTTACAGTTGTCTAGTTTAGCTAAAATAATATCCAAAACACTGAACAAGAAGAAAAATATATTAATTATGGGATTCAAACAAACCACGATGCACCAACATCGCACTGCACTTGACTTGTAAAGGCAATTTTCCAGACGTTCACCAAGATCACATTCGCATAGATTACTTTTAAAAGGCAAGTGCAGCACGATGTTGGTGCATTGTGGTTTGTTTGCCCCTAGATCTTACCGAGAACCTGTCAGCAGTATGTAGGTGGGTGAGGTGCTGGTAGACTAAGTTGGGGTCCTTCTGTAGGAGCTGTGTGTCCAGGGCCTGCATGATGAAGCTGACTGTGTGTCCATCCAGCTGGTTACTGAGGTAGACAGGCAGAGTCTCAGGGGGAACACAGCTCAGCAGCTCAGCACAGGCTGGGAGGTTGGACTGGGCCCGCGCTGCGTTCAGGGACTGGTTGAACTCATAGGAGTTAGAGGGCTGGAGGTTGATGGTTATTGCCTCCTCCTCCCCTCTTCCTCCTCCTCCTCCTCTACACTGGTTCTCTGGGGCTGGGGTTGATGTGGATGTTGTTGATGGTTCTTCTGTCTCTGTTTCTGCTGCTTTGGTCCTGTCTGGCTCTGCAGCCTGCCAGTCTTCCTCCTCAGTACCCTCAACCTGACGGAGGACAGGTAGACAGCTTGTGACCATCTAGACATCACTTTGTGGCCCCTAATTACATTAGCTATGTCCTTACCATAATTACATTAGCTATGTCCTTACCATTATTACATTAGCTATGTCCTTACCATAATTACATTAGCTGAGTCCTTACCATTATTACATTAGCTGTGTACTTACCATTATTACATTAGCTGTGTCCTTACCATTATTACATTAGCTGTGTCCTTACCATTATTACATTAGCTGTGTCCTTACCATTATTACATTAGCTGTGTCCTTACCATTATTACATTAGCTGTGTCCTTACCATTTTTACATTAGCTGTGTCCTTACCATTTTTACATTAGCTGTGTCCTTACCATTATTACATTAGCTGTGTCCTTACCATTATTACATTAGCTGTGTCCTTACCATTATTACATTAGCTGTGTCCTTACCATAATTACATTAGCTGAGTCCTTACCATTTTTACATTAACTGTGTCCTTACCATAATTACATTAGCTGAGTCCTTACCATTTTTACATTAGCTGTGTCCTTACCATTATTACATTAGCTGTGTCCTTACCATTATTACATTAGCTGTGTCCTTACCATAATTACATTAGCTGTGTCCTTACCATTTTTACATTAGCTGTGTCCTTACCATTATTACATTAGCTGTGTCCTTACCATTATTATATTAGCTATGTCCTTACCATTATTACATTAGCTGTGTCCTTACCATTATTACATTAGCTGTGTCCTTACCATTTTTACATTAGCTGTGTCCTTACCATTTTTACATTAGCTGTGTCCTTACCATTATTACATTAGCTGTGTCCTTACCATTATTACATTAGCTGTGTCCTTACCATTATTACATTAGCTGTGTCCTTACCATAATTACATTAGCTGTGTCCTTACCATTTTTACATTAACTGTGTCCTTACCATAATTACATTAGCTGAGTCCTTACCATTATTACATTAGCTGTGTCCTTACCATTATTACATTAGCTGTGTCCTTACCATAATTACATTAGCTATGTCCTTACCATTATTACATTAGCTATGTCCTTACCATAATTACATTAGCTATGTCCTTACCATAATTACATTAGCTGTGTCCTTACCATAATTACATTAGCTGAGTCCTTACCATTATTACATTAGCTGTGTACTTACCATTATTACATTAGCTGTGTCCTTACCATAATTACATTAGCTATGTCCTTACCATTATTACATTAGCTGTGTCCTTACCATTATTACATTAGCTGTGTCCTTACCATAATTACATTAGCTATGTCCTTACCATTATTACATTAGCTATGTCCTTACCATTATTACATTAGCTGTGTCCTTACCATAATTACATTAGCTGTGTCCTTACCATAATTACATTAGCTGTGTCCTTACCATTATTACATTAGCTGTGTCCTTACCATTATTACATTAGCTGTGTCCTTACCATTATTACATTAGCTGTGTCCTTACCATTATTACATTAGCTGTGTCCTTACCATTATTACATTAGCTGTGTCCTTACCATTATTACATTAGCTGTGTCCTTACCATTATTACATTAGCTGTGTCCTTACCATTTTTACATTAGATGTGTCCTTACCATTATTACATTAGCTGTGTCCTTACCATAATTACATTAGCTATGTCCTTACCATTATTACATTAGCTGTGTCCTTACCATTATTACATTAGCTGTGTCCTTACCATTTTTACATTAGCTGTGTCCTTACCATTATTACATTAGCTGTGTCCTTACCATAATTACATTAGCTATGTCCTTACCATTATTACATTAGCTATGTCCTTACCATTATTACATTAGCTATGTCCTTACCATTATTACATTAGCTGTGTCCTTACCATAATTACATTAGCTGTGTCCTTACCATAATTACATTAGCTGAGTCCTTACCATTTTTACATTAGCTGTGTCCTTACCATTATTACATTAGCTGTGTCCTTACCATTATTACATTAGCTGTGTCCTTACCATAATTACATTAGCTGTGTCCTTACCATTATTACATTAGCTGTGTCCTTACCATTATTACATTAGCTGTGTCCTTACCATTATTACATTAGCTATGTCCTTACCATTATTACATTAGCTATGTCCTTACCATTATTACATTAGCTGTGTCCTTACCATAATTACATTAGCTGTGTCCTTACCATAATTACATTAGCTGAGTCCTTACCATTTTTACATTAGCTGTGTCCTTACCATTATTACATTAGCTGTGTCCTTACCATTATTACATTAGCTGTGTCCTTACCATTATTACATTAGCTGTGTCCTTACCATTATTACATTAGCTACAGTTGAAGTCGGAAATTTACATACACCTTAGCCAAATACATTTAAACTCAGTTTTTCACAATTCCTGACATTTAATCCTAGTAAAAATTCTGTGTCTTAGGTCAGTTAGGATCACCACTTTATGTTAAGAATGTGAAATGTCCGAATTTCCTCCAGTGATGGGTATGGTAGTGTAGTGTGTATAGTATATTATACCTCAGTGATAGGTACAGTCCTCCTGGGGTTGCTAGGTGATCCCTGAGCCAGACTCTGTCTGAGCAGCAGAGTGACCTCCTCCAGCTCCTTCTCAGCCTCCGCTACGTTGGGATCCTGCTGTAACACCTCCTGCAGGTCAGAGCTGCACGCCAGGTAGTCCTGGGGACGGGGGCACAGTCACAGTCACACACACACACACGGACGGGCACACAGTCACACACACATATACGCACACAAACACATACGCACGCACGGACGGGCACACACACACACACACACACAGTCACACAGTCACACAGACACACACACACATATACGCACATACGCACGCACGGACGGGCACACAGTCACACACACGCACGCACGCACGGACGGGCACACACATGCACACGGACACACATGCACAGAGGAAGAGATCAGGTAGTCACCCGTTTTAATGCCTGTCTACAAAGTAGTTAACCGAGATTAGCGGCCAAACCCACTAACTAGTCCTGTGAATCCCTGAACCCTGTCCCTCACCTTCAGGCCTTTATGGGCCAGGGCCCGCCTGTAGAAGGCCTTCTTATTGGCTGGCTCCAGCCTCAGGGCGGAGTCACAGTCCTGCTTGGCTTCAGCAAACATATCCAGCTTCAGGAAGCACAGTGCTCTGAGGACAGAATGTAATACAACAACAGTATTATAGTGCATCTCTATGGAGGCAGAATGTAATACAACAACAGTATTATAGTGCATCTCTATGGAGGCAGAATGTAATACAACAGTATTATAGTGCATCTCTATGGAGGCAGAATGTAATACAACAACAGTATTATAGTGCATCTCTATGGAGGCAGAATGTAATACAACAACAGTATTATAGTGCATCTCTATGGAGGCAGAATGTAATACAACAGTATTATAGTGCATCTCTATGGAGGCAGAATGTAATACAACAACAGTATTATAGTGCATCTCTATGGAGGCAGAATGTAATACAACAACAGTATTATAGTGCATCTCTATGGAGGCAGAATGTAATACAACAGTATTATAGTGCATCTCTATGGAGGCAGAATGTAATACAACAGTATTATAGTGCATCTCTATGGAGGCAGAATGTAATACAACAGTATTATAGTGCATCTCTATGGAGGCAGAATGTAATACAACAATATTATAGTGCATCTCTATGGAGGCAGAATGTAATACAACAACAGTATTATAGTGCATCTCTATGGAGGCAGAATGTAATACAACAGTATTATAGTGCATCTCTATGGAGGCAGAATGTAATACAACAGTATTATAGTGCATCTCTATGGAGGCAGAATGTAATACAACAATATTATAGTGCATCTCTATGGTTCTGGAGGAGAACAGAACACTGTTCTTCAACATTGCCAAACACAGCTCATACAATCAGCCTCTCTTGTATCTTCTGTCACCACAGACATCCTTGCACCAAGACAGCTGCAGTGTTTTAATATTGATAACCCTGTAATTTCTGTCCTAATCTACACTCCCTAAGGCCATGTGTGTGTTGTAAGGCTGGCCTTTAGTTGTTCACAATGATGTGGTTGTGGTGTGTGTACTGTGACTGCATGTACACACACAGGTCTTTATGGAGAACAGGACATGAACACAAAGGTAGGGTGCAGTGAGTCATGTCAGTGTGGACAGCCCTTTCCTCTCTACGGTACAGTACACTCTGTCAACACTGACAACACTACTCCACCTGCTGTTGTTGAGGGGAGAAATAGAACAGGGTCACATTCATTAGTGCACACCGTAGCAAAACGTTACAGTCCGTTTCTTCCATTCGGTGCCTAATGAATAGGACCCAGGTTTCCCATCCCAGGAGAGCCCAGAGGAGAGTTGCTGCATGTCTTTCTAGGACAACGTCCTCTACCCTGTTCTGTGCTACACAGTGTGTCTATAATTAGGCTCTTCTGGTAAAAGGGAAAGCACAGTAGAGAGAGAGAGAGAGAGCCTGCTCTTTCTATTTCCACACTACAGAAACAATACACCTGATTAGTCTGACTGGAATTACTGACCTCATGACAGACTGGCTGGGGTTAGAGCAGACTGGCTGGGGTTAGAGCAGACTGGCTGGGGCTAGAGCAGACTGGCTGGGGCTAGAGCAGACTGGCTGGGGTTAGAGCAGACTGGCTGGGGTTAGAGCAGACTGGCTGGGGCTAGAGCAGACTGGCTGGGGCTAGAGCAGACTGGCTGGGGTTAGAGCAGACTGGCTGGGGCTAGAGCAGACTGGCTGGGGTTAGAGCAGACTGGCTGGGGTTAGAGCAGACTGGCTGGGGCTAGAGCAGACTGGCTGGGGTTAGAGCAGACTGGCTGGGGTTAGAGCAGACTGGCTGGGGTTAGAGCAGACTGGCTGGGGTTAGAGCAGACTGGCTGGGGCTAGAGCAGACTGGCTGGGGTTAGAGCAGACTGGCTGGGGTTAGAGCAGACTGGCTGGGGTTAGAGCAGACTGGCTGGGGTTAGAGCAGACTGACTGGGGTTAGAGCAGACTGGCTGGGGTTAGAGCAGACTGGCTGGGGTTAGAGCAGACTGGCTGGGGCTAGAGCAGACTGGCTGGGGTTAGAGCAGACTGGCTGGGGCTAGAGCAGACTGGCTGGGGTTAGAGCAGACTGGCTGGGGTTAGAGCAGACTGGCTGGGGCTAGAGCAGACGGGCTGGGGTTAGAGCAGACTGGCTGGGGTTAGAGCAGACTGGCTGGGGCTAGAGCAGACTGGCTGGGGCTAGAGCAGACTGACTGGGGCTAGAGCAGACTGGCTGGGGTTAGAGCAGACTGGCTGGGGTTAGAGCAGACTGGCTGGGGCTAGAGCAGACTGGCTGGGGTTAGAGCAGACTGGCTGGGGTTAGAGAATTCACTGGAAGGCTGGGGTTAGATTCTAGAACTGCTGGGGTTAGAACATTCACGGTCCATAGCAGGCTGGGGTTAGAACATTCAAACCATATGTAGCAGAGGTGATTTGAAATCACACTCTCGTGATGAAAATATCGCCCCTCAGACCACACAGATATCCTCTTTGTCTAATGGTTGAGACATTGACTTGGGGAGTGGGAGACCAGGGCTCTTTTCCCACTGGTTACACATACAGTGCATTCGGAAATATTCAGACCCCTTCCCTTTTTCCACATTGTGCTACATTACAGCCTTATTCAAATATTGATTAAATAAAAAACATTTCCTCATCAATCTACACACAATACCCCATAACGCAAAAACAGGTTTTTAGAAATTATTGCACATTTATAAAAAATAAAAAACTGAAATACATTTTATTTATAGAAGTATTCAGACCCTTTACTATGAGACTCGAAATTGAGCTCAGGTGCATCCTGTTTCCATTGATCATCGTTGAGATGTTTCTATAACTTGATTGGATTCCACCTATGGTAAATTCAATTGATTGGACATAATTTGGAAAGGCACACACCTGTCTTTATAAGGTCACACAGTTGACAGTGCATGTCAGAGCAAAAACCAAGTCATGAGGTCAAAGGAATTGTCCGTAGAGCTCCGAGACAGGATTGTGTCGAGGCACAGATCTGGGGAAGGGTACCAAAACATTTCTGCAGCATTGAAGGTCCCCAAGAACACATTGGCTTCCTTCATTCTTAAATGAAAGAAGTTTGGAACTACCAAGACTCTTCCTAGGGCTGGCCGCCCGCCAAACTGAACAATCGAGGGAGAAGGGCCTTGGTCAGGGAGGTGATCAACATTTACATTTGAGTCATTTAGCAGACGCTCTTATCCAGAGCGACTTACAGTTAGTGAGTGCATACATTTTCATACTGGGCCCCAGTGGGAAACGAACCCACAACCTTGGCGTTGCAAGCGCCATGCTCTACCTACCAACTGAGCTACAGGGGACTCAAGGGCACACTTTAAGATTTAGCCTCTGGTCCAATGTCCACACTAGCATACTTATTGTGGTATTAGCAATGTATTGGGTATTCATTCTAAGTGGACATTGGAAGTTGACCTTAGTCTAACTCTAGTGCTGAGGAGCTGCAGGGTGTGCCGGCTTTTGTTCCAATTCAGCACAAAAAAAGAGTTTCTCAATATGCATACTACAATGCTCCACACTCTCATGCTCCGAGTGCATTCTCCGAGGACGTTCTCTTGAATACGTTCTTGTGTGGAGAACGCAGAAAACATTACATTGATTTCAAGATATGTTGCGTCATTTTTTTTAACGTGGTTGAGTCATATTTCTTTGCATACCTTCCGTTGAAGCTTGCAACGATGCATGCTTCAAAATATGTACAAACGGAGTGCGCATTTGATAAGTGCACTCCGTGCTCTGTTTCGCATACTTTGATTTGGACTCGTACTCCGACCCTCCCGTGCTCCAATTTGCGTGCTCCGAGGAAGGTAGTATGCATTTTGAGAAACACCCCATGACTCAGACCATGGTCCTCTGTGGAGATGGGAGAACCTTCTAGGAGGACAAGCATCTCTGCAGCACTCCACCAATCAGGCCTTTATGGTTGAGAGGCCAGACGGAAGTCACTCCTCAGTAAAAGGCACATGACAGCCCCAAAAGGCACCAAAAGGACTCTCAGACCATGAGAAACAAGATTCTCTGGTCAGATGAAACCAAGATTGAACTCTTTGGCCTGAATGCCAAGCGTCACGTCTGAAGGAAACCTGGCGCCATCCCTACGGTGAAGCATGGTGGTGGCAGCATCATGCTGTGGGGATGTTTTTCAGCGGCAGGGACTGGGAGACAAGTCAGGATCGAGGGAAAGATGAATGGAGCAAAGTACAGATAGATCCTTGATGAAAACCTGCTCCAGAGCGCTCAGGACCTCAGACTGGGGCGAAGGTTCACTTTCAAACAGGACAACGACCCTAAGCACACAGCCAAGACAATGCAGGAGTGGCTTCAGGATAAGACTCTGAATGTCCTTGAGTGGCCCAGCCAAAGCCCGGACACGAACCTGATCGAACATCTCTGGAGAGACCTGAAAATAGCTGTGCAAAAATGGGAGAAACTCCCCAAATACAAGTGTGCCAAGCTTGTAGGGTCATACCCAAGAAGACTCAAGGCTGTAATCGCTGCCAAAGGTGCTTCAACAAAGTACTGAGTAAAGGGTCTGAATACTTATGTAAATGTAATATTTCCGTTTTTTTAAATTGTCTAAAAACCTGTTTTTGCTTTGTCATTGTCAACACACAATTTAATAACTTTTAGAATAAGGCTGTAACGTAACAAAATGTGGAAAAAGTCAAGGGGTCTGAATCCTTTCTGAATGCACTGTACATTACTGTCCATGTTAGGGTGGAGTAGACACGGCCAGGTCCTTACCTGTTGGTGTAGATGGGACATTCCTCTGGCTTCAGCTTCAGGCATTCACTGTACGTCCTTACAGCCTCCTGGAACTGGCCTTTCTTCACAAACTCATTTCCTTCTTGTTTCAGTGAATTGAAACAAACTTCTGCTTTTCTAGCTGCAGAGAAATTGAAGAAATGATGTTGGTTGAGTAAATGTGTAACATCACACTGAGTAACTTGCCCCAAAATTATATTTTTGTAAGAATCGTATTTCACAAAAATAAGTGAGTGTGGTAATTTTGTCCTTAAAATCCAGGTCAGATGTTACTATGGTATACTGAAGTATAATTACAAGCATTCCATAAGTGTCAAAGGCTTTTATTGACAATTACATTAAGTTTATGCAAAGAGTCAATATTTGCAGTGTTGACCCTTCTTTTTCAAGACCTCTGCAATTTGCCCTGGCATGCTGTCAATTAACTTATGGGCCACATCCTGACTGATGGCAGCCAATTCTTGCATGCTTGGGCAGATTGCAGAATTTGTGGGTTTTTGTTTGTCCACCCGCCTCTTGAGGATCGACCACAAATTCTCAATGGGATTAAGGTCTGGGGAGTTTCCTGGCCATGGACCCAAAATGTCGATGTTTTGTTCCCCGAGCCACTTAGTCATCACTTATGCCTTATGGCAAGGTGCTCCATCATGCTGGAACAGGCATTGGTCGTCACCAAACTGTTCTTGGATGTTTGGGAGAAGTTGCTCTCGGAGGATGTGTTGGTACCATTCTTTATTCATGGCTGTGTTCTTAGGCAAAATTGTGAGTGAGCCCACTCCCTTGGCTGAGAAGCAACCCCACACATGAATGGTCTCAGGATGCTTTACTGTTGGCATGACACAGGACTGATGGTAGCGCTCACCTTGTCTTCTCCGGACAAGGTGTTTTCCGGATACCCCAAACAATCGGAAAGGGGATTCATCAGAGAAAATGACTTTACCCGAGTCCTCAGCAGTCCAATCCCTGTACCTTTTGCAGAATATCAGTCTGTCCCTGATGTTTTTCCTGGAGAGAAGTGGCTTCTTTGCTGCCCTTCTTAACACCAGGCCATCCTCCAAAGGTATTCGCCTCACTGTGCGTGCAGATTCACTTGCACCTGCCTGCTGCCATTCCTGAGCAAGCTCTGCACTGGTGGTGCCCCGATCCCGCAGCTGAATCAACTTTAGGAGACGGTCCTGGCGCTTGCTGGACTTTCTTGGGCGCCCTGACACCTTCTTCACAACAATTGAACCCCTCTTCTTGAAGTTCTTGATGATCCGATAAATTGTTGATTTAGGTGCAATCTTACTAGCAGCAATATCCTTGCCTGTGAAGCCCTTTTTGTGCAAAGCAATGATGACGGCACATGTTTCCTTGCAGGTAACCATGGTTAACAGAGGAAGAACGATGATTTCAAGCACCACCCTCCTTTTAAAGCTTCCAGTCTGTTACTCTAACTCAATCAGCATGACAGAGTGATCCCCAGCCTTGTCCTCGTCAACACTCTCACCTGTGTTAACAAGAGAATCACTGATATGATGGCAGTTGGTCCTTTTGTGGCAGGGCTGAAATGCAGTGGAAATGTTTTTTTGTGATTAAGTTTATTTTCATGGCAAAGAGGGACTTTGCAATTCATCTGATCACTCTTCATGACATTCTGGAGTATATGCAAATTGCCATCATCAAAACTGAGGCAGTAGACTTCGTGAAAATTAGTATTTGTGTCATTCTCAAAATGTTTGACCACGACTGTAGTCACCTCCAGTACTCAAGCAGACAGTATCTCTCCTCTCTCTGTTCCACTAGTCACCTCCAGTACTCCAGCAGACAGTATATCTCCTCTCTCTGTTCCACTAGTCACCTCCAGTACTCCAGCAGACAGTATCTCTCCTCTGTCTCTGCTGCAGTAATACCCTCCAGTACTCCAGCAGACAGTATCTCTCTTCTCTCTGTTCCACTAGTCACCTCCAGTACTCCAGCAGACAGTATCTCTCCTCTCTCTGTTCCACTAGTCACCTCCAGTACTCCAGCAGACAGTATATCTCCTCTCTCTGTTCCACTAGTCACCTCTAGTACTCCAGCAGACAGTATCTCTTCTCTCTCTGCTGCAGTAGACTATATGACCGTTGAAGGTCACAGCAGAAAGAGGTTGAGTAATGATGATGATGCTGGCTGCACACGGCCAATAGAACAACACCCTATCCCCTATTGGACTGCGTTTAACCCTGGGCTCTGGCCAAAGGTAGTGCACTGTATAGGGAATAGGGTGCTATAGGCTCTGGTCAGAATTAGTGAACAACATAGGGAGTAGGGGGTCATTTTGGACTGAGTGTAATCTCTTGTGACAGATGAAACAGCTGGTCAGCGTACAGATTAGGTTCTGGGTGACTACACTCTTAGAAAGAAAGGTGCTATCTACAACCTAAAAGAGTTCTTCAGCTGTCCCCATAGGAGAACCCTTTGAAGAACCCTGTTTGGTTCCAGATACAGTGAGGGGGAAAAAGTATTTAATCCCCTGCTGATTTTGTACGTTTGCCCACTGACAAAGACATCATCAGTCTATAATTTTAATGGTAGGTTTATTTGAACAATGAGAAACAGAATAACAACAAAAAAATCCCAAAAAAATGCATGTAAAAAATGTTATAAATTGATTTGCATTTTACTGAGGGAAATAAGTATTTGACCCCTCTGCAAAACATGACTTAGTACTTGGTGGCAAAACCCTTGTTGGCAATCAGAGGTCAGACGTTTCTTGTAGATGACCACCAGGTTTGCACACATCTCGGGTTTGTTCCACTCCTCTTTGCAGATCTTCTCCAAGTCATTAAGGTTTCGAGGCTGACGTTTGGCAACTCGAACCTTCAGCTCCCTCCACAGATTTTCTATGGGATTAAGGTCTGGAGACTGGCTAGGCCATTCCAGGACCTTAATGTGCTTCTTCTTGAGCCACTCCTTTGTTGCCTTGGCCGTGTGTTTTGGGTCATTGTCATGCTAGAATACCCATCCACAACCTATTTTCAATGCCCTGGCTGAGGAAAGGAGGTTCTCACCCAAGATTTGACGGTACATGGCCCCGTCCATCGTCCCTTTGATGCGGTGAAGTTGTCCTGTCCCCTTAGCAGAAAAACACCCCCAAAGCATAATGTTTCACCTCCATGTTTGACGGTGGGGATGGTGTTCTTGGGGTCATAGGCAGCATTCCTCCTCCTCCAAACACGGCGAGTTGAGTTGATGCCAAAGAGCTCGATTTTGGTCTCATCTGACCACAACACTTTCACCCAGTTCTCCTCTGAATCATTCAGATGTTCATTGGCAAACTTCAGACGGCCCTGTATATGTGCTTTCTTGAGCAGGGGGACCTTGCGGGCGCTGCAGGATTTCAGTCCTTCACGGCGTAGTGTGTTACCAATTGTTTTCTTGGTGACTATGGTCCCAGCTGCCTTGAGATCATTGACAAGATCCTCCCGTGTAGTTCTGGGCTGATTCCTCACCGTTCTCATGATCAATGCAACTCCATGAGGTGAGATCTTGCATGGAGCCCCAGGCCGAGGGAGATTGACAGTCTTTTGTGTTTCTTCCATTTGCGAATAATCGCACCAACTGTTGTCACCTTCTCACCAAGCTGCTTGGCGATGGTCTTGTAGCCCATTCCAGCCTTGTGTAGGTCTACAATCTTGTCCCTGACATCCTTGGAGAGCTCTTTGGTCTTGGCCATGGTGGAGAGTTTGGAATCTGATTGATTGATTGCTTCTGTGGACAGGTGTCTTTTATACAGGTAACAAACTGAGATTAGGAGCACTCCCTTTAAGAGTGTGCTCCTAATCTCAGCTCGTTACCTGTATAAAAGACACCTGGGAGCCAGAAATCTTTCTGATTGAGAGGGGGTCAAATACTTATTTCCCTCATTAAAATGCAAATCAATTTATAACATTTTTGACATGCGTTTTTCTGGATTTTTTTGTTGTTATTCTGTCTCTCACTGTTCAAATAAACCTACCATTAAAATTATAGACTGATCATTTCTTTGTCAGTGGGCAAACGTACAAAATCAGCAGGGGATCAAATACTTTTTTCCCTCATTGTAGAACCCTATTGGGTTCCATGTAGAACCCTTTCCCCCAGAGGGTTCTACATGGAACCCAAAAGAGTTCTACATGGAACCAAAAATGGTTCTACCTGGAACCAAAAAGGGTTCTCCTATGGGGACAGCCAAAGAACCCTTTTGGAATCCTTTTCTCTAAGAGTGTACATTAGACTGAGTGAGACCCCTACCTGCGTGGTGCTTGGCCTTCTCTGCTCTGGCCTGTAGGACCTCAGCGCTGGGCGGTTCCTCCCTGCGGTGCTGCTGAGCTGATAGTGGGACCAGAGGGATCTCAGGTAGTTTCTCTCTCCACTGCTCTCCATCCTGCTCTATCAGCAACCGCGTGATTCTGGAGGAACCAGACATACAGAGACACACAGACGTACGCATGTACACACACACACACACAGGTACACACACACACACATACGTACGCATGTACACACACACACACACACACACACACACACACACACACACACACACACAAATGCACGCAGGCACATACACACACACACACACACAGACGTACGTAAATACACACACACAAACGCACGCAGGCACACACACACGCACACACACACACACACACAGACCTTGTTATCCTCCCTCCTATCCTCTATTATGTAAGCGCAGGACGTGTGTGTGAGGGTATAAATAGCGTGTAGCTGCAGTAGCTGGAGGACAGCAGGTCATTCTGTCCTGCTGCTAATCAGAAGACTGACGTCTGAGCTGGCTAATTAGAGTCTACAGTAAAGGGGCCTTTCAAACAACTCTCAATCACTTCACATGGTTGTTACTGTAGGGTGGCAAAATTATGTTAACTTTCTAGAAATCCTGATCCCAGGAATCCTCCAACTGGGATTTCTGGAAAACCTGGGAATTTGGGGAAAGTTCAAGGAATTTTGCAACCCTAATGATGGGGGTGGAGTAGTTTACCTGTTGACACTGTCGTGTGCAGCCTGCACACTGATATCTATCTGTAGCACGGTTTTGTAATCCACATAGGCTTGTCGGTAACGCTCCATAGTCTCATAAGCCATGGCTCTGCGTAGGAGGGGCTTGAGGGAGAACGGCTGCAGCTCCAAGGACCTGCAGGTAGAAATAGAATAAGACAGAGGACGGGAAGGGATCAAGCCCTGCATACACCTACTGTACAGTACCTAGCATGTACAGTACAGTATCAAGCCTGCAGGTTGTGGTTGGTGTTTGAGGAGGGAGGGGTCAAGCCTGCAGGTTGTGGTTGGTGTTTGAGGAGGGAGGGGTCAAGCCTGCAGGTTGTGGTTGGTGTTTGAGGAGGGAGGGGTCAAGCCTGCAGGTTGTGGTTGGTGTTTGAGGATCAGTAAAGATTCTGCTCTCCTTTATTCTTCTGCCTCCTAAGAACTTCAACCAAACCTCCTCTATGGTTTTGCAGTGGTGTGTCAAGAGTGTGCAAAGCTGTCATCAAAGCAAAGGGTGGCTATTTTGAAGAATCTCAAATATAAAATATATTTTGATTTGTTTAACACTTTTTTGGTTACTACATGATTATGTGTTATTTCATAGTTTTTATGTATTCACTATTATTCTACAATGTAGAAAATAGTAAAAATAAAGAAAAACCCTGGAAAGAGTAGGTGTCCAAACTTTTGACTGGTACTGTAAATGTAAAGATTATAAACACACCCAGGGCGGCAGGTAGCTTAGTGGTTAAGAGCGTTGGGCCAGTAATCGAAAGGTCACTGGTTCGAATCCCAGAGCCGAATAGGTGAAAGATCTGTCGATGTGCCCTTGAGCAAGGCACTTAACCCTAATTGGTCCTGTAAGTCGCTCTGGATAAGAGCGTCTGCTAAATGACTAAAATGTAAATGTAAACCACTTCTCAATCAAACAGGCAAGAGTCAAGTGCTCTTGTGATAGGTCACGGCCTTAAACAAAAATTCATTTGACATTTTCTTTAATGATTGATAGAAAATAAACATGTCTAAGGAGATGTTATCCAAAATGTTTAACTGGGTCTCAAAAGCCTCTTTTAAATCACAAGCTAAATCTTCCCTAGAAAATGTGTGAGAGAATAGTGCAAGTATCAACATGAATCAAATCTAACCCCTGACAATGAACCCTAACATGGATGTCTACAACCTGGCTTCTATAACCCAGTAGTGATGTGTACTCTGATCTCTGAGGCCTACTCTGCTCACAGCACAGGGCTTCTATAACCCAGTAGTGATGTGTACTCTGATCTCTGAGGCCTACTCTGCTCACAGCACAGGGCCTATTTACATTTCTCCTATTGAGGCCAGTGAGTTCAAACGTATTCAAACTAGGTACTAGTATCTGTCTGTAGTGCAGGCCTAGTTAGTTACCACAAGCCCTCCCTCTTCCACTCAGCCACAGTTTGACCTACTGAAGGGCTCTTGTGGTAGAGTCTATTGAGTGATTATAGAGGGATGATGAGAGCTGATGATTGGCTAGATCCACTGGATCCAGATGTGACAGGGAGGGGTATACTGTTTAATCTCTGCTGTAATTACTGACTCTCTCTGTCCCTTTTCACTAAGGATGTGTCCCAAATGTCACCGTATCCCTACTGTTGGCCAGTGCACTATAATTGGAATAAGGTTCCATTAGGGACAGAGGCTAAGAAGGACTGTTTTGGAAGTTGTTGGTTGTGCTTTAAATAAAACCTCATCTATATAATAATGTAGGTAGAGTTGTTGAGGGAGTGTCTCACCTGGTGCAGTCCTGTATACATTCAGAGCTGTTTCCATCTTTCAGGTAGCAGGCAGCTCTGTTAGAGTAGAGAACACACAGGTCCTCAGGACTGTCCATCCCTGTGAACCAGACACAGAGACAAACGTTATTACACAGGTCCTCAGGACTGTCCCTCCCTGTGAACCAGACACAGAGACAAACGTTATTACACAGGTCCTCAGGACTGTCCCTCCCTGTGAACCAGACACAGAGACAAACGTTATTACACAGGTCCTCAGGACTGTCCCTCCCTGTGAACCAGACACAGAGACAAACGTTATTACACAGGTCCTCAGGACTGTCCCTCCCTGTGAACCAGACACAGAGACAAACGTTATTACAACAGGTCCTCAGGACTGTCCCTCCCTGTGAACCAGACACAGAGACAAACGTTATTACACAGGTCCTCAGGACTGTCCCTCCCTGTGAACCAGACACAGAGACAAAACGTTATTACACAGGTCCTCAGGACTGTCCCTCCCTGTGAACCAGACACAGAGACAAACGTTATTACACAGGTCCTCAGGACTGTCCCTCCCTGTGAACCAGACACAGAGACAAACGTTATTACACAGGTCCTCAGGACTGTCCCTCCCTGTGAACCAGACACAGAGACAAACGTTATTACACAGGTCCTCAGGACTGTCCCTCCCTGTGAACCAGACACAGAGACAAACGTTATTACACAGGTCCTCAGGACTGTCCCTCTCTGTGAACCAGACACAGAGACAAACGTTATTACACAGGTCCTCAGGACTGTCCCTCCCTGTGAACCAGACACAGAGACAAACGTTATTACACAGGTCCTCAGGACTGTCCCTCCCTGTGAACCAGACACAGAGACAAACGTTATTACACAGGTCCTCAGGACTGTCCCTCCCTGTGAACCAGACACAGAGACAAACGTTATTACACAGGTCCTCAGGACTGTCCCTCCCTGTGAACCAGACACAGAGACAAACGTTATTACACAGGTCCTCAGGACTGTCCCTCCCTGTGAACCAGACACAGAGACAAACGTTATTACACAGGTCCTCAGGACTGTCCCTCCCTGTGAACCAGACACAGAGACAAACGTTATTACACAGGTCCTCAGGACTGTCCCTCCCTGTGAACCAGACACAGAGACAAACGTTATTACACAGGTCCTCAGGACTGTCCCTCCCTGTGAACCAGACACAGAGACAAACGTTATTACACAGGTCCTCAGGACTGTCCCTCCCTGTGAACCAGACACAGAGACAAACGTTATTACACAGGTCCTCAGGACTGTCCCTCCCTGTGAACCAGACACAGAGACAAACATTATTACACAGGTCCTCAGGACTGTCCCTCCCTGTGAACCAGACACAGAGACAAACGTTATTACAGACTCAGACACAGTCAAGTTGTAACCTACATCATGGTGCTGTAGTGGTCCACTCAAACCCAGTCTGTCAAAGCAGAGCCTCCTGCTGCCTGCTAGTATGACTCATTTAGAAAGTTGTGAAGATAATGAAGAAGGCTTTGGTCTAATGAGCCACAGTATGAAACTAGTGGTTTAATGTGCCACAGTACGAAACTAGTGGTTTAATGAGCCACAGTACGAAACTAGTGGTTTAATGTGCCACAGTATGAAACTAGTGGTTTAATGAGCCACAGTATGAAACTAGTGGTTTAATGAGCCACAGTACGAAACTAGTGGTTTAATGAGCCACAGTATGAAACTAGTGGTCTAATGAGCCACAGTATGAAACTAGTGGTTTAATGAGCCACAATATGAAACTAGTGGTTTAATGTGCCACAGTATGAAACTAGTGGTTTAATGTGCCACAGTATGAAACTAGTGGTTTAATGAGCCACAGTATGAAACTAGTGGTTTAATGAGCCACAGTATGAAACTAGTGGTTTAATGTGCCACAGTATGAAACTAGTGGTTTAATGTGCCACAGTATGAAACTAATGGTTTAATGAGCCACAGTATGAAACTAGTGGTTTAATGTGCCACAGTATGAAACTAGTGGTTTAATGTGCCACAGTATGAAACTAGTGGTTTAATGAGCCACAGTACGAAACTAGTGGTCTAATGAGCCACAGTATGAAACTAGTGGTTTAATGTGCCACAGTATGAAACTAGTGGTTTAATGTGCCACAGTATGAAACTAGTGGTCTAATGAGCCACAGTATGAAACTAGTGGTTTAATGAGCCACAGTATGAAACTAGTGGTTTAATGTGCCACAGTACGAAACTAGTGGTCTAATGAGCCACAGTATGAAACTAGTGGTCTAATGAGCCACAGTATGAAACTAGTGGTTTAATGTGCCACAGTATGAAACTAGTGGTCTAATGAGCCACAGTATGAAACTAGTGGTCTAATGAGCCACAGTACGAAACTAGTGGTTTAATGAGCCACAGTATGAAACTAGTGGTCTAATGAGCCACAGTATGAAACTAGTGGTCTAATGTGCCACAGTATGAAACTAGTGGTTTAATGTGCCACAGTATGAAACTAGTGGTCTAATGAGCCACAGTATGAAACTAGTGGTCTAATGTGCCACAGTATGAAACTAGTGGTTTAATGTGCCACAGTATGAAACTAGTGGTCTAATGAGCCACAGTATGAAACTAGTGGTTTAATGAGCCACAGTATGAAACTAGTGGTTTAATGTGCCACAGTATGAAACTAGTGGTTTAATGAGCCACAGTATGAAACTAGTGGTTTAATGAGCCACAGTATGAAACTAGTGGTCTAATGAGCCACAGTATGAAACTAGTGGTCTAATGAGCCACAGTACGAAACTAGTGGTTTAATGAGCCACAGTATGAAACTAGTGGTTTAATGTGCCACAGTATGAAACTAGTAGTTTAATGAGCCACAGTATGAAACTAGTGGTCTAATGAGCCACAGTATGAAACTAGTGGTTTAATGTGCCACAGTATGAAACTAGTGGTTTAATGTGCTATACAGTATGAAACTAGTGGTCTAATGAGCCACAGTATGAACCTAGTGGTTTAATGAGCCACAGTATGAAACTAGTGGTCTAATGAGCCACAGTATGAACCTAGTGGTTTAATGAGCCACAGTATGAAACTAGTGGTTTAATGTGCCACAGTATGAAACTAGTGGTTTAATGTGCCACAGTATGAAACTAGTGGTTTAATGAGCCACAGTATGAAACTAGTGGTCTAATGAGCCACAGTATGAAACTAGTGGTTTAATGTGCCACAGTATGAAACTAGTGGTTTAATGTGCCACAGTATGAAACTAGTGGTTTAATGAGCCACAGTATGAAACTAGTAGTTTAATGAGCCACAGTATGAAACTAGTGGTTTAATGAGCCACAGTATGAAACTAGTGGTCTAATGAGCCACAGTATGAAACTAGTGGTTTAATGTGCCACAGTATGAAACTAGTAGTTTAATGAGCCACAGTATGAAACTAGTGGTTTAATGTGCCACAGTATGAAACTAGTGGTTTAATGAGCCACAGTATGAAACTAGTAGTTTAATGAGCCACAGTATGAAACTAGTGGTTTAATGAGCCACAGTATGAAACTAGTGGTCTAATGAGCCACAGTATGAAACTAGTGGTTTAATGTGCCACAGTATGAAACTAGTAGTTTAATGAGCCACAGTATGAAACTAGTGGTTTAATGAGCCACAGTATGAAACTAGTGGTCTAATGAGCCACAGTATGAAACTAGTGGTCTAATGAGCCACAGTACGAAACTAGTGGTTTAATGAGCCACAGTATGAAACTAGTGGTTTAATGTGCCACAGTATGAAACTAGTAGTTTAATGAGCCACAGTATGAAACTAGTGGTCTAATGAGCCACAGTATGAAACTAGTGGTTTAATGTGCCACAGTATGAAACTAGTGGTTTAATGTGCTATACAGTATGAAACTAGTGGTCTAATGAGCCACAGTATGAACCTAGTGGTTTAATGAGCCACAGTATGAAACTAGTGGTCTAATGAGCCACAGTATGAACCTAGTGGTTTAATGAGCCACAGTATGAAACTAGTGGTTTAATGTGCCACAGTATGAAACTAGTGGTTTAATGTGCCACAGTATGAAACTAGTGGTTTAATGAGCCACAGTATGAAACTAGTGGTCTAATGAGCCACAGTATGAAACTAGTGGTTTAATGTGCCACAGTATGAAACTAGTGGTCTAATGAGCCACAGTATGAAACTAGTGGTTTAATGTGCCACAGTATGAAACTAGTGGTTTAATGTGCCACAGTATGAAACTAGTGGTTTAATGAGCCACAGTATGAAACTAGTGGTCTAATGAGCCACAGTATGAAACTAGTGGTTTAATGTGCCACAGTATGAAACTAGTAGTTTAATGAGCCACAGTATGAAACTAGTGGTTTAATGAGCCACAGTATGAAACTAGTGGTTTAATGAGCCACAGTATGAAACTAGTGGTTTAATGAGCCACAGTATGAAACTAGTGGTTTAATGAGCCACAGTATGAAACTAGTGGTTTAATGAGCCACAGTATGAAACTAGTGGTTTAATGTGCCACAGTATGAAACTAGTGGTTTAATGTGCCACAGTACGAAACTAGTGGTTTAATGAGCCACAGTACGAAACTAGTGGTTTAATGAGCCACAGTATGAAACTAGTGGTTTAATGAGCCACAGTATGAAACTAGTGGTTTAATGTGCCACAGTATGAAACTAGTGGTTTAATGAGCCACAGTATGAAACTAGTGGTTTAATGAGCCACAGTATGAAACTAGTGGTTTAATGTGCCACAGTATGAAACTAGTGGTTTAATGTGCCACAGTACGAAACTAGTGGTTTAATGAGCCACAGTACGAAACTAGTGGTTTAATGAGCCACAGTATGAAACTAGTGGTTTAATGTGGCCTGGGACTGGGCATGTTGGAACATGGGGGTGACTCTGATGTTAAATGAAGGCAGGATGTTAATCAGGAGATCAGTATGTTGTTGTTCTGTTTGACTCAGAGGACTGAAACTGAGACTCCCAGAGGCACATGCCTGTACAGGATGAAATGTTCTGTACCACCATTATAATGTCACATTGACACAGCCTACTCTGTATTTTTAAACATTGTCTATGGACTTCACACTTACCAGATCTGACTCATTCCAAGTGAATTCCTATATCCAGTCCATTCCTAAC